GAGTTCAATACAGAAGTTCTAGCAACAGATGTTTTTATTCACATAATGTTAACCTTAAACAGAATTATGCTTTCATTTTCCAGTAATATCTCTAAGAGGTTTGTCCCACTGGGAAGATATTTCAACCATAATAGAAAACAGTAATTGTTTGCAGCTATCTCTAAAATCTGGCTGATGTAAAAGTCTGCTTGGCTGCATGTAGGCAAAGTGTGAATTTGCTGAAAGGCTTGTGACTTGCTTTGTTTCAAAATAGACTGGCGTCCAGTGAATTGGGCATGTGGTTTATTGATCTGGTTATATATGACCCAGGAAATCTCCCAGGCCTGTGCTCTCACATGACCCAAGTGCAGTAAAGCTGTGGATGAGCTAGGTAGGTCAGATAAGCAAGAGAACCAAAGGTTTTGCTGAATACTCTTAAATAAGTGTCTTATTTCTGACATGACTTTAAGCAAAGTATTAGACTTGATGACACCTGGCTTGAAATATGAATCAAGTATATTCTATCTTGCTCATTGAAAAGGTTGATGGACTAAATTTGAAATGAATTAATTTGAAATTTCCAGACATGGCATTTTTTTCATCACACTTTTAAGAGACCCCATGCTTAAATGGATTTTTTTGGTGAAATTTGGAATATGGCAATTTCAGCATATGGTGATTATGATTTGGAATATGGTGAAATGGCTTTTCATTGTCTCCAAGATCAGCCTTGCAGTCTGTGGAATTTGCACCATACTTTTGCCAGCTGGGGAGATGCTGATCTCCCTTTAGACAAGAGGTGTGTGGTCACTGGGTATTTCCCACCTTCAGAATCCAAAACCTATCAATTAGCCTGAGAATTCAACCCATTACTAATTAGATAATGGGCATGACATTAAAAAGCCTTTTTTTTTCATGGATTGTTTTGTAGTGGTGGTCATGGTTTTTCAGTTTTGTTTGATTGGTTTTGATTTGGGGGTTTTTTTGGGGTTTTGTTGCTTTTTTGGGTTTTTGGTTGTGAGGGTTTTTTTTTTGAGTTTGGTTTTTTTTTTTTATTTGTTCTGTTTTTGTTTTTTTGCTGTTTATTTTTTCTTTTTTTCAAATGAGAAATTAACCCAAAAACAAAGAAGTCCCTGAGGTTCTGCCCCAAGTCATAGGTTCTTAGAAAGGATGTCCATCCATCCATCCAAGAAAACCCATCTCTGCTTTCCCTTTTTGTGTCAGTGGTGCCTGGGGAGGAAACTCAGCTTTCTTTGTCCATGGATGGAGATGCTCACATAGGGCAGGAGAGAGACTTCAGATCTCAGGGACAGACCCATGGATGAGGATGCACTTACTGTCATGGAGAGCATCCCAAATCCTGGGATGTTTGAACACATGCTTGAGAGGTCTTTTCCTTTTGCCTTTAGTGGTAACTACAGGGCAGTTGCAGAGTGATGCATTGTGAGCTGTACTGCACATTTTGGTGACAAGAAAAGTGGATGGGTTGGATGCCATGGTGCATAAAAGGAGAGAATGGAGTAAAATAGGAGTGGTGCTGTGGCTGCTGGAGCCTGTCAGGGTTCTGTGGAGCCTCATTAGCTCTTGTTGCTTTGGTTATGTTCACTTGTGATTAGTTACAGTGAAACTGTGGTCAGGAGTCACAGGCTTACTCAAGCAGAAATTAGCAATAAACATGAAAAATAAATTATATCAATGCCTAGGGGAAAATCCCCTGGAAACGCAGTGTTCAGTCAGCAAGGCGTGTTCTCAGATGAAGAAGCAGCAGAACTGTGCCCATGGGGCAATCAGCAATTCACCTCTTTTGTTAGCAAAAGTGTTAAAAGATGGGATTAGTCTGGACAAATGAGGGCAGTGAAGGTTTCTCCTGCAGGTGACTCAGTGATGGGGGCAGCCAGGGCTGCAGGCTCCAGTGTCCGACTGTCCCAGCAACAGCCTCTAATGTTTGTGAAGCACAGTTTGGGTTCACACATAGGCTGTCATGCTGACAGATCTCTCCCAAAATCTGGGCTAGGGGGAGATTTGACTCATTTTGGCTGGAAGCCTTGTGTGTTACGGGCTCAGGGGCTCAGTGCTGCCAGGGAACGTGGCCCTGGTGTGGGCTGAGGTTGGCAGCCTGCTCCTCTGGGTTGGCTCTGCAGGCATGTCAGAGCTGGCTGCTGGGAGGAAAGGGTGGGGACACCCAGGTTTGGGAAGAGCCAGCTGTTCTGAGAAAAGAAATGGTAAAAGGAGAGGCAAGAGGGCATTGCCAGCTGGCAGGTGGTGAGCAGGGCGGGGAGGAGGACACCTTGGAGGAGGTGCAGGGCAGATCTGAGGTTGGGATCGGCCATCCTGCAGGTCAAAGGCTGAGTCCTGGTCTCCAGCTGCCCTGAGCCTGGCAGGTTGAGGGAGTGTGGTCCTTTCAAAGAGAGTTTTCCTCCTCTGCTCATGAGAGGGGATGGAAACCCGTGCAGCTGGCTGTGAGCTGGCAACTGCAGAGGGAGTGAGCCCCTCTGTGTGTTTGGACAGCAGTGCTTTCCCACTTCTCCTGTGCTCTCTTGGGTGCAGTGATGGGCTTCCTCAGGATGTGCTGTGGGAGAGCTGTGGAGATCTGAGTGCTGCTGGTTGTGAGCTGCTCACAGCAGGGCTCCCAGGGCTGGGAGGGGTTTGTGCTCCCTGGGGAGGGGGTGCTTTGGACATTTCCAGCATTTATTGCAAGCAGTGCTTCTCTTTTGAGGATGAGTGTTTAAGAGCAACCTCACCCACACTTGTGGAGGAGGAGCCCTCATTGTGGGGTGACCTGCAGTCAGATTGTCAAATCCTTCAGCAAACCTGTCCTACCTACACAGCTCCTGCTCAGGGCTGACTCTGCCAGAAAAGGTGGCAGCTGATGGTCAGGGAGTGCATCATCCCTTTCTTTGCTCTCTCCTGAGATGGGTCTGAGCACAGTTTGTACCCCCCAGCTGAGCTGCTCAGAACGTGATTTTTGCTTTTCAGTCTGGGTCATCACACCAGTGAAATCACTCACATGGAAGCTGGTGTGCTGAGATAAATGTGTCCCTACCCATAGCAGGATTTAAAAATCCTGTGAATTATTGCCTGGTGGGAAGTTCTGAAGCCTGAGTGTAACTTCTAGTACCTCCAGGCTGGCAAACAGAAATAGCCCTTTTTTCACCTCCTAGAGAATGACTTTCACACGTTGCTGGATAAAGTTTTCATTTAGGTTGACTTTCTTCTTGTTTTACCTTAATGTCACAGGTCATTTCCCATCTACAGCTTTGCAAAACCCCTGCCATGTTCCTGTGGAACACTTCAGTATAGATAAATCAAGTTTTTAGGTCAGCTCTGCTTACCTAGGCTTATCTTAATCCCCTTTTCATATGTGGATAACCTCTATTGCACCTTTTCCTCAGTTGTGCTGGGTCATGCCAGCCCTCTGTGACAGGACAGGCAGTGGCACTGTCCTCCATGAGTAAGGTCAGAGGCAATGCAGAGCCAGCACATGCTCCTTCACCTTGCAGTCTTTCAGGACTTTGGAGACAGCCCCTAAAAGGCAGAAGATGGAGCCTGTCCTGTCTGATATTGATGCCAGATCCCACAAGGAAAGAATCAGCCTGTATTTCTTTGGGTATGGGACCAATCCACTCAACCAGCCTGTGGGGGAGGTGAAAGCCAAGAGCTTTGAAAATGGCATACTTGGAAAGTTTAATCCCAAAAAAAGCCCCAAGTAAATGGAGATGATTTCCCTTACTGCCTCCAGAACTGGCCTCAGTGGTTTATCCTGAGGATCCCACTCAGTCCAGGGTTGATTCCCCTGATATCTCCAGCCTCATTTGTCCCCAGGGCAATCCAGCATGCTCTAATGGGATCTGATTCACTGGCTTCTAGCACACATGGAGGATTTTCTGGAGACACCATTATAAACAACCTCTACAGAGTGTGCAGGCAGGTAAACCTACTCCTTCCCCACACTGTGGCATTGAGGACTTTTGTCAGCTCCTGTCAGCTTCCCACTGAGAGGCTGAGAAATGCTCCTCTGGGGAGTGCAGACATAGCTGAGCATGTGCTGGATGTGTCCCATGTTCCCTCCTGCATGCTGCTCTGGTTTGACCACATGGGAGCATGAAAAGATCAATAGGAATTTGGCAGGACATAGGCAGACAAAACAGAACACAAAAGAGCGATAGCATTAAACACAACCATCAAAAAAAGAGAAAAGCTGAGCTGAAGTATCTTGAGAAAAACGGTGTAACTGGAATGCCTGCTACTGGTGTTGGTCATGAGAAGTGCATCAAAGCTGAGATGGACCCAAAGAAAGCTGCCAGGACAAAACCACAGAGGGATTGCTCACTTCTAGTGAGCACCCAGACACTGTAAAGACTCCAGCAGTGCCTCTCCTTGCTGACAGAGCTGTGTCCCTGAGCTGTGCTTGTATTCTCAGCATATGGCACAAGCATGGAGGGGTCTGCATGACCCTAGAGCAAATGTTCCTTCTTCACCCATGCTCTGCCTTTTGCTCCACCTACCTGATGGTGTTGGTGAGGTTTGAGCTTGGCCACAGGAGGTTTAATGTAATGCTCTGTGGAGATTCGTTCTGTAGGATGACATTGAGGGATGCCCCTATCCCACTAAAGTGGTGGAGCCCCAGAGCAGTGGGAATATGTGGCAGCCAGCCTGGGCCATGCTGTAGGGTCTGCCAAGGGAGAGTTCCTGCCCTGCAGAGGTCAAGAGGACATGGAGTTACTCTCTGACTGCTGTAGTTGATATTTACGAACTCTGGGCCTTCACCCTGCCTGCCTGTGGCTGCTTTCTCATCTTGCTTTCTTGTCAGGGCCACAGTTCAAGGTTTGGAGAGGTGCATGTTGTAAGGGAACAGGGGAGAAAGTTCCTCTGCCCTGATGCACCTCCCTTCCCTACGTCCCACCACCCACGCACGAGCTGGGTGATAATTTGGTGGGGGGAGCTGCTGGAAGGGGTGGGACAGGAGGAGGAGAGAGGGTAGTGTCTGCCTTAACTCTTGCTGTATCTGTTTGGCAGTCAGTGGATTCCCTGCCTGGACTGCAGTGGGACGGGAGGGGCTTGCCTGGGGAGACCTGCGCTGGGCTCAGGTGAGTTGGGCGTTTGCTCGTTGAGCGGATCTTGGCTGGGTGTTTGTGTCACCCTGGGAGTGCCATGGCTCCCGTCCTCCCGCAGCCAGCTGCTTGCTGTGCTCTGGAAAGTGGGCCAGCACATCTGCAAGGGCAAAATCTTCCCAAGGTTCAGTGAAGCAAGAGTGAGATGGACAATAAGGAGGAAATAATCGATTCGGATCAACCCCGGGAAGAGGTTTTTCTTTCAATGGTTCCTTTGGAAAAAGAAAGGACAGGCTGAGATGCTGCACAGGGGGCACCAGGAAGCTGAGAGCAAAGAGATGCCTGAAGGATGGGTAATTGATCCTGAAGGTTGTGGCAGCAGAGAAAAAGGGAGAGAGTGACAGGTAAGTACTCAGAGAGCAGAAATATTGAGAACAGAGACAACAGTGAGCGAGACAGGGGCAGGGATGAAGGGCAGAGCTGGCTGGTTGATAATAGGTACAGGAACCAAGGCACTGGGAGTGGAGTGGGCTGTAGGCATTTCAGCTACTGCCTGCATGAGTTCTCTCCTCCTGTGCTGCCCTGCAGAGGTGCTGACCCCAGTGCATTGATTTGGGAGCTGCAGTTTTTAAAGATGAGCCTGGCAGTGCACTTCTTGTTCTTCTGACCCCAGAGTTTTAATCAAATTTGTTCCTGTAGGGCTGAGGCAGGGAGACAGTGCATGTCTTTCTGCAAGTGCCAAACTCTTGGGATCTGTGGGCATATTTGTGAACAAATGCAGGCAGAACACATGAGGGTTTCATAACACCTGATCTGTGTCTTCTTAAATCAACAGTGCTTTTAAAGTAATCACTACTAATCAGGGCTTTCATCTCATGCCAGTGGAAATACCATTGCCCTAGTTTTTCCTCTTTGACAGCTGGTGATACGAGAGGCTGAACCTTGGACCTGACCTTTGCAGCTCTGCAGCAGCCCAACTTTTCTGGATTCCTGGTTGCAGATGTGCTCCTTGCAGAGAGCAGGCTGAAGAGCCTGGGCTGTTTCTCTACCTGACTGTGGTCCTGGGCAGGCTAGAGGAAAGTTTGGGTGCCCCAGGCTGGAGAGCAGCTACCAGGCCCCTGGAGGGTGTAGGTGGGATGCAGTCATGGCAATTATGGCAGGAACTGCTGGAAAACACTTAGGCACTGCTGGAGTCATGGTCTCCATGCACCTGTGTCTGTGCTGGTTTCACCTGATGTGAGTTGTCCTGAGCACCAGCTGGAGCTGGCTGAGCCTGCCCAGGGTTGACACAGAGTGCTGGGCTTGTGCAGGGCTGAGCAGGGAGCACAGTGTGGGGACAATCATGGCAGGGAGCCCTGTGACCCTGCTGTGTGCTGGCCACACACATCTGTGCTGAGGGACCAGGCTGTGCCACACACACTGTTGGCTCCCCTCACCTCCCTGCTGGGAAGCATGAGACAATGTGTTATCCCTCAGCCCTTCCTGGCTTTTGGAAGTGTCTTGCTTGAGTGCTCTTCCCCTGTGCTTCCTGTTTCTCATCACTGACAGCAAGTGTCCCCAGGCTGTGCTTTTGGGAGGTCAGGCAGGGTGTGCCTACCTGGAGGAGCTTAGATACAAGTGCCTAGAGCAGTGTGATGCCAAATTCCCTGTGCTGCTCTCCCACCTCTGAACCTCTGCCTGCAGTGCTGGCTCCTCGGCTCTCCTGCTCTATCAGCTTTGCTTCCCACTCTTCCCTCAGCCCTCACCCCCAGCTGCAGGGATGGCAGCAGCTGGCCAAGCAGGGCTGGGGCTGGCAGCCTGATCTCTTCATCTGGCCTGCCCAGGGCTGCTGGCTGGCATCTTGCTCCATGAAATTGCTGCCCCAGAGAGGTGGCAGCCCTGCAGGCACCCTGCAGACTCTGTCTTGTCCCTTGGAGCACCCCTGGGCTGCACCCCAGGTCGCTGCCCCGTTGTGCAGGGACCTGTTTGCAGAGTAAGTGCTGGAGCAGCGTGGCTGTCACCCTCTGTGCCATTCACCTGCTCTGCTCTCCAGCCAGTGACAGGAGCAGTGCTGGCCACATGCTTTGGCTGCACACAAGGACCTCTGAGCCAGCCCAGTGCAGCCCCAGGACTTTGGTCTGATGGCTCCAGCTGTGGGGTAGGTGGCTCTGGGGGCTCCACTGGGGCCTGGCTGGATCTGTGGCTGTACCAGACCTATTGCTGGTGCTCTGTAAGAAGAATGGATCCTGCTGTGGCTGGCCCTCCTGCTGTGTTGCACTGCACATAGCCTGAGTGGAGGTCTTGAGATTGTCTGGTTTGGTGTAAAGGCTGGTTTCTAGTCCTATTTAGACACCATTTATGGACTTCATCTGTTAATCTTGGTTTTTTCCTAGGCTACAGAAAGAAACCACCTCTGTGTCTCTGTAGCCCAGAGCAGGGATGGTGATCCATGGACACCAACAGAGATACATCTGGCCCTGGGAACAGCAGCCTACCTTGCTTTTAGCAAGAGATTTGCACTGATCCTCAGACAGTCCAGCCACTGTTAGAAGTTTCAGAGGATCTCCTGTCCAGCAGCAGAAGTCAGAGCAGGACCCGTGTGGCACCCTCCTGCACTGGGGTGTGTGCCCTTAAGGGTGATGCTCTATAATCCTTGCATCTTGTATTGCAGATGTCCCTGGCATCAGTGAACTCACTCATGAGGAACACACAGAGTTCCTTATCTCACTCTTTCTGGTGTCAGTAAGCAGCAAACTCACAAGCATTGCTTTTATTTCACACTGGAGAAAACATAGGTAGGATCTGATTCTTGGAACAGTCTCCTGTGCCTCAAGAACGTTGCTGAACAGATGCTTTGAGAATACCCTGCAGCCCAAAGAACCTGGAAGTTAATTAGAAAGTGTAAAGAAGCCAACTAACTTTCAATTGCTTGAAATGAAAGGCATTTTAATTTCAACTGCTGTCCTGGAGTTGATCGGTTTTTCTCTTTGTACATCTTTCCTTGCCTTTCTCTGTTATGCAGCTGGAGTGAGCCATTCTCCAGCAGCATTCTGATTTGGAAACAGCTGTCTCTGCTTATGTAGCTGCTCTTAGATTGGCTGGAAAGCACTGCTAATATTTTCTTGTCCATCTTGCAGAGATGACCGATTCCAGTAGCAGCCCCCATGCACTAATTGACCCGGGTTGGCTCCTTAAGCTGCACCTCGGCGCTGCTGCTCCGTGCTGAGCCCTGATTTTCTGTCTCTGCTCCCACCTCCGCCCCCGCCCCCTGCCATCAGAATGCAGCGCAGGCTTTCAGCTGCTGACTAACTGCTGGCTCCGGTTGCGCAACCCGAGAATTTTATGTGTCCTGCTGCTCCTCCTTTTGTAACACAGCCCGGTCGTCTTGCTTCCTGATTCCTCCCTCCCCATCTTAAATTGCAGTTTATGTGCTTGGTTGCTGCTTGTTTCAAAATGAAACCAAGAAATATAAATGCACTGCAGCTGTCTGCGTTGTCACCTGTGATTCTGCGGTTCAGGCAGTACCTTCGAGTGTCCAAAGGAGCTTTAACACTGTGATTCCTCTCATAAATGTTATCAGCTGCTTTTTAGAGACATTTCTGTCTGCTGTTCTCTCTGTTTCACTATTCCCTCTGGAGACTGTCCTCATCTCATTTGCCTTATGATAAAACAGTAAAATAGGTCAAATGGAGGATGTTAACTTCCCAGCAGTAGGAACTCCTGTCTGACAGCAGTCAGGAACAGGCAGTAAGTTTGCAGAAATAAAAGCTTTGGGAGAATTGCTGTTGGCTTCTTCCTCTGGTGCAAAAACTCTAGGTGGCTTCTCTCTCATCTTGTCTCGCTCTTGTTCCTTGCCTCACCTGAGGAACTTTGAAAAAGCCCTTTTTTGCCCTGAGAGAGGCTGAGGATAGCACTGTATTTCACTTCAAATGATGCTTTCTTTCTCGTCTTTTTCTTATTACTGCCTCTCCCCTTCAGTGGCATCTTGTTTCCAAACAAAGCCAAAAAATGCTGTTCTCCTGCATGTCTGCGTTGTGTGTTCAGCACATCATAGGCAACTGCTGAGTGACCACAGTGCTTCAGAGATGTCTTTGGTTTTCCTTGCCTTTTGTGGATCCCATGGTGGTAGATGTGGGACAAACACAGTTCAAAATTTGTGACCAAGGGGAGACTGTTGCTTCATTCAAATGTTCAAAAATTGAACTTGTTGCTCTGGGTCTATAGCTGCCTGCATGCTGCCTTCTCTCTTTCTAGTCAGTCTCTTCTCTGAGTCCTGAAGGAATCCAGGTGTATTCTTGTTTTCCCAGCCATAAATCTTTTGGGGAAAAAAATTGTGGCCATCTCCATTCACCAAGCCCAGTAGCAAATACTGTACCATTTCCTATGGAGCTGCATAGAGGGAGCTCACTGCTGTCTGTGGGAAGATAACAGACCACAGGTCATTTCTGTGAAGGGCAAAAAAACCCCCATCTCCTCCAAGTGCTGAGAGCTGGAAATACAGCAGAGCACCTCTACAAGAGACAGGTGGGGTCAGAGGGAGCTGAGGAGGGAAGGTGGTGGCAGGAGAGTCTCCAGGGGCAGGGTTGACTCTGTGGGTTGCATCAAGATGGCATTTTAGCAGTCGGGAAAACTTTGTGGCAGAGGAAAAAAAGAGTCTGGGAATTAAGTATTCATAGGATTTTTCTCCTAACTTTGGTGAAGGAAGAGCAGAAAAATTACAGGCGAGCAGTGAGGGGCACAGTCTGTACTCCAAACTCATGTATTAAGGAGGGAGCAACCAAAGAAAAAGGAAAATGTTTGCCTGTTGGGGAGGATGTAACCCAGTAGGTGGCTGTGACTGCTGTGGGAGAACCAAATTGTTCCTAGCTGGAAACAAGAAGTTATTTGAGTCCCCATCTGGCCTAAGAACATATAGAGCAGGGGCACAGTAGGATTAAATGTTTAGGAGAAGAGCCAGGAGGTGTATGAATAGGCTCTCTCATAGAAACAGTAGGCGAAGCAGAGAGGGAAGTAGTGGGGATGTGTAATGTGCATGGCTTAGTCTGGGAAAGGAGAAGTTGTATTTCATGCCATGAAGAGCCAGAACTTTAGGCACCAGTTTAATCCACCATCCGTTCCCACTTGAAAAGATTTGATTTCATAGCCAGGGTGCTTTCCCCCTTCTTAAAATATGAAAATGAAGGCACAAGTGCTGTGTCTCCCCTGCTGCTCTGTGTTTCCCCCAGCTGTGTTCCTCCTCATTGCAGCATCCCAAATTCTATCCTTCATGTTGGCCTATTCAGGAGTCAGAAGACAAATAAAAAGTCCTGATCCAAGTGTCCCTGAGCTGGAGGCTGGTGACAGGGTTGGGGCTGTGGCTGGCACTCATACATTCCCTTCCCAGGGCTAGGTGAGAGGAGGTGATTCTCTGATTGTGACCTTCCTCTGCACCTATGTGTGAAACAACTCTAGCCAAAATGAAATAAAACCACAAATATTAGTAGAAATAGGCTGGCTCTTGGATCCACCTTACATTAAAAGAATAAAACCAAAGAATTAGCTAGGCTTGTCCTGCCAGCTTCCTGGGACATCCTCACCAAACCCAGACTTAAACATCCTGCACTTGATAATGTGCCCTGGACTGCAGCAAATGGGAATGTGCCAAGGACCGTGACAGATCAAACATGTTTCATTAAGTACGTGTTACTTTTTCTCTCACATTTGACAGTGCGTGGAGCTCTGCTCCTCTGAGACGAGGAGGCTGTGCTGCAGCATTGGAATAAACTGATTAGCCAGCTAGCAGGCCCTGCTGCAGGCAGGCACTGGGGAGAGGGGCCCTGCCTGGGCTCCAGAAGCTGAGAAACGGCTGGCAGGAGGACCTGGTGATTCCATCTCCCAATCCAACCCAGCAGAAGGGAAAAGTGAAGGGGGAAAATCTGGGACTGGGGAGCTGCAGAGCTGCAGCTGCAAGCCAGCATTTAGGGTGTGTGCCTTGATTCCTGGGCTCCACCACCTTCTCTAAATGTGGGGTTAGAGGTTTGTAGGAGCCTGTTAGAGGGCTGATTCACCTTTCCACTCTCAGGTAGATCCACAGGTGTTGTAGCCCTTGGTGGTTTGGATCAGTGCAAGCCTTACCAGCAAATAGTTGCTTTCCAGCATATGGACCATAAAGGACAAGGGCTGGAGATAAAACAGAGCTTGCTTCCTCAGTGCCCTCATGCATCTGCATTTGCACCAAAACTGGTTGTGCCTACTGCTGTACTACTCATATATGAGCTCTTACTGGCAATAGTTCTAAAAACCTCTCAAATTTAACAGGGAGCAAGATCTTTCTGCCTTGTTTTTGAAAAGCCTGGAGGATGATCTTCACCAACCCTTGACTGCTGTCCTCTATGGTTTATGTCCCCCTGATCTTGTTGCAGCCCCTCTTACACTGGTTGGTGTCTCGCATGAGACTCAGTTCTCCATTCAGCATCCATGGAAATCTGCTGCTGGTAGCAAAGCAAATAGGATGGGCCCTTCAGGAGAGCAGATGGGGGAACAAAGCCTGTTGTTGCCTAGGGCATTTAGAGAGCAATTGGTGTGTTACACTGTGAGATCTGATGATTTCCTTTCATTACTTGAATAACAGGCAGGAAACATGGCTGTGTCAAAGAACTACTTGTTCTGCTGTGAACATTCATTAGAAGTTGTCTTTTCATACACAAGCATCTTTCTTTGCCCCAGGGCCTGATATATCCAGAGGGTTAGCATTTAGGAAATTATTTCCTTTACAGAACTGAATGAGACACTGATAATGATGCTGTCTTGTGTGGATAAGTGTGAGCATGGCCCACCAGCTCCTGCTCCTGCTTCCTCCTTGCCTCATTGGAAACTACACCCAAACAAGTGCAATAGTATTCCTTGGCTGCTGGGACAGTTAGATGCCAGGGTTTACACTTGCTCTTATTTGCAGTTAGGTCAGGTTCCCTGGTAGTCCCTCCTCACCATGAGATGGCTCATACCTGGTGTTTGTCCAGAGGGACATGGCTGGCAAGACACCAGGCACAAGGAGGGAGGGAATAGTTTGACATCATGGTCCTGGTGCAGTCCTGGTCAATAGAAGATTTGGTGGTCCTGTAAGGTAAATGGCATCAAAGGTGATGAAGTTCTGCTCACCACTGAGCTGCTGAATGGGAGAGATGCTTGGCCTGAGCTGCCTCCAGAGGCAAGGGAGAGAGCAAGTTTAAATAGTCCACAGCAGATCCAGGGGCAGTGGAAATGTTGAGTGTTGTGGGTGATGCAGATTGCTGTCTCTGTTGCTCCCTGAAGATGGGGATGTTCCTTTAGGTGATACAGAAGGAATGAGAGATGTGCTATTAAAAAGCTTACCGAACCACCAGCATAATGAATTAGCAAGTTGCTACAAGAGAGCAAAACCCTGATTTCTTTGCAGTCCCAGCTGGTGGGAATGGAAGCAGAGATGCTGCTGCTTTGGAGACACTTGTTTCCAGTCTGTTTTCCTAATCTCAACAAGGGAATGCATATCCCTTGCTAAAGCAAATCACTTCTAGAAAGGCCAGCTTCTGCTCAGTAATGCCACCAGTTACATGTGCCTAAATTTACATATTGATACTGGAACCACATCTTATTGTGGTGTCTGGTCCCCTCACTCCTCTTCCCACAAGCATGTCCTGCAGCAGCTCCCTACATCCCATGCTCTCCTTCTCTTCTGTCCCACAGAGCCATGACAAGAGCCATATCCAAGGAAGGAGAACGCAATGGGGCCACCGCATCTCCTGAAGAGATAAGAGTGGAGGAAATGGAAGAGAGAGGCCAGTGGAAGAACAAAATGGAGTTTGTGCTGTCTGTGGCTGGGGAGATCATTGGCCTGGGTAACGTGTGGAGGTTCCCATACCTCTGCTACAAGAACGGTGGTGGTGAGTGCACAGCACACGTGAGTTGTTCTAGGTCTGTAGCTATAGTGAGAGACATGTACATGCCTGCACCCAATTCTCCTATGTACTCCCTAAGGTATTCCCTTATTCACTCCTTCAACAAGTTAGTTCCTGCTAAAATGAGGAGGAATAAAAACTCAGGGGTGAATCCAGCTCCCCAGTGGGTACTCTTCCTTAAAGCAGCATTCTCAAATCTGGACTCCTGAAAAATTGAACCCCAGTAACAACTTAAGGCTGTTGGGCATCTCAAGCAATTATTGGTCTTTAGAAAATATCTGTAAGTGTTCAGAAAGCCAACATCAACCTTCTCCTACATATTCCCTTTTCCTACTCCTGGCATCAAATCCACCCCTTGTTACAGAGGAGGAAAGGCTTAGACAGTGCTGGTATCCTAGCCAAGGCCTGATACACCCCAGGAGGAGATTTCTGCCTCTTCCCCTGGAGCAATTCTCACAGTAGTCAAACCACTTTCAGGAAAATTCATCCCAAATAAAGGTTCATTCACCTTCCCTTTTGTTTCTTTGCATGGCTCTCCTTTTCTCTTGTAGTAACACTGCAATAAGATCATTACATGGTTAAAAGTAAAAATTTCTCATAACAATAAAATGAAACGTAAGGGAATAATTGACTGTCACTAACTTTTCTCAGTGAATAAAAATCTAACTTGATAAAAGAAAAGGAGGAATAGCAAATTACATGTCAAATCCAGCAATAACTTCTCTTTTGTTCTTGTTCTCTAAAAACACCCTGAATTAACGGGTCTGGGATTTGCTTCACACCCCACCCCCCTTCTTTGAGCTTCCTTTCTCTGCAGACCATGCCCCAGAGGCCTTTCTTTTCCAAGGTGCCAGGAGCTTTCACCAATAGGTGAGTGGTTCCACTGTAATTTTCCCCAGGGCTTCCAAATTCTTGTCCTCTCTGCTGTTGCTGGAGTTTATCCAAATTAAACAAGAGACAAGGAAATACATCCTCAAAACCAGTGAGGGCCAGGGTAAGAAATGGTTAAAGAAAATGGAATTAAGTTTTTCTAGAACCTGGGATGATTTTTAGCAGATCCTCCAGTTTTCTTCTCCAATATTTTGATGGGAGGCACCAAGAGCAAGCCAAATGAGATGCTCTTCCAGGTTAGGAAACACTGGAAGAGCATCTGATTGAGCAGCCCATTCTGCAGTGATGCTTTCAGAGAGGAGTCATGGGTTTTGCATGGAAAATTTCTCCCTGAGCTCAGATGATATCTTTGCATAGTTTGTGCCTGTGGTACCCGGTTCAGCAGTCCTTGCAATTTGTATGCTAATTAGTGTAAGTGAAAAGGCTACTTTTGTTCACTTTAAATATCTATTGAATAACATTTTTCTTTTTAATTAGACTGCTCTGGAATAGCTAAGGCTGTGATTCAGAGGGCAGGGAGGCCAGGCTTGGGAAAGGTTAGGATGGGAGTGTCCTTCCCTCACAGCTCCCTTGCAGAAAGTATGCTGCTGCTGGAGAAGGTACTTTTCTCTCTCCAGGGCTCTAGGGAACCAGGAGACTGATATAGGGCAAGGCAATGTATTTCCATGACACTCAACAGCATTCTCATCATTGGAAAAGTTCTTGAAATTGCAAAAAAAGGCATTTCCCATCTATAAATGCTTCATCCCTGTCCCACCCTTACCTCCCAAATTTGAGACTGCTGTCCTGACACCTTTCTCCACCTTCGGATGTACTGAAATGGTTTTACAGCTCAGTGAAGACAGATGCCATAGAAAAAATAGTGCTATATTTCTGTAAAGAGACCAACTGCAACCTTATCTACTGCTGCACTGTCACATTTGATCTAATTGCTCAGCATCCTGAACTTATTATTGACTCATAAAGAAAGAGGATCTGTTTCTGGGGGCCCCACTCAAGGCTGAGGCTCCTGCAGTAGAGCAGCAAATTGAGGAGGGGATCACAGCTGGAGTTTCAGCTGGTAACTGCTGTGGGACAGTTAAGAGAGACGAGACAATAGAGGTGCAAGAAAATCATGGTTGCTCAGAGACCAAAATGGGTCAACCTCTGGGACAAATTGTATCAGAGGAGAGGGTCTGGAGTCTGCTGAAAGGCTCATCTGTGTGCAGGATAATAAAGCTGTCTTGCAGACTTGGCATAGATGTCTTGCAACACCAAAAGCAGCAGCTGCCTCTAGTTCAGGGTCTGCAGTTCTCACTTCCTACCCTGTAAACCTGGACTGACCCTGAGAATCAGCCTCATTCCCTCTGGCCCCAGGTCTCCTGCAGCTACACACAGCTGTGTTTAGGGGAAATGTGGATGTTCTTTGTTATTGTAACTTTGTTGGCTTAAAAACAAGGGCAAGTGTTCCTGGTTGCTCACAGTCACTGGAAGGAATGTCAGTGTGAATGCCTGTGCTGGCAGGGGAGGAGAGGGCCAGGGGACAGTGGCTGAGAAAGGCACCCTAGTCTTGGTTACAAGCAACTGAGATGCTCTCCAGGCCCTGGCAATAGAGGTGTTCCTGACCAAATTTTATTGTATGGAGAGGCAAGATAGCCACAGTTGTTTCAGCGAGGAAGGCAGTCACCTTATCTTGTTTGGAGGGAAGCAGAAGTGTGAAAATCCACACTAAGGATGTGGAGAAAGAGAGTGAGGTGTCAGAAGGAAGGTCAGCTGTGAAAATGAGATTTCAGGAGCAGTTTTGAGCAGAGCAGTGAATGTACTTGTACTTAGTTTGACAACATAACTGAAAAGGTGCAAAAAAATTTCAGACAGCTGAACAAAGCACTAAGCCATTTTTTCAGGGCATTAAAGTTTTTGGTTATTTTTGTTTGTCTTTTCTTATGCTTAGTTTATGCTGGTCATTGTTTCTGGGAAAAAGCCTTGCTCTTTTCTCCTTCCTCTTCCATTCTGACAAGCATTAATCTGAGGGTGATTTCAGGTTGATTTCTCTTTAGACATTTCTCTACATATTAGCAAAAATTGATTTTGAAGGTAGAAGTTAAACTTCCTCATTTTGAAAATGTCAGAAAAATATTCCTCCCCTATTTCCATTTTTCTGGTGCAATCTGCTTTCCAAATTTGATGTGAAATATGTCTCGAGTAAATTTATATCCTGGCAAATGTTTTACTTACCAAGAAATGTCACCAGCCTCCAGGTTTGTATCCTCTGGGCAAGTGGGAGTTTTGCTGTGACTCTCATGAAAGGCAGAACAAATGTAGTTATGTGAAACAAGGACTTATTTTGTTCATCCCCTTCCTGCTGAAAGCTGGAATGAGGTCAGGAGCATGAAGCAGGGAGAACTTCTTCAGCACTATCTTTTTTTAGCTCCTTGCCTGGCTACTCCTTACCCCTCTAGGTTTTGGCCTATCCCAAATGCAGAAGTGCAGCAGTAGCACAAGATAGACCACCCTTGTAATTTTTTCTGAGAAATTATGGTCATTGTTTCTTTAGCAGAGGTTGCACATTTAGTTCACTGAAATATTTATGTTTATGTAGCTGATTCCAGCTGTGGTCCCAGGTATCTGGCAAAATGTTTTAAGGATAAGGTTTTTGAAGAGGTTTCTGAGGCAGCATTTTACCCCTCTCTGCAGGAGCCTTCCTCATCCCTTACCTCATCTTCCTTTTCACCTGTGGGATCCCTCTGTTCCTCCTGGAGACGGCGCTGGGGCAGTACACGAGCCAGGGAGGGGTGACGGCCTGGAGGAAGATCTGCCCCCTCTTTGAAGGTCAGTCAAGTTACAGTATTTACTGGCAACACTTTCTGACAATCAGTGACTGAGATCCTTTTTTAAAAATATTATTATTCTTTTTTTCCCCTTTCTCTTTTATTCTCCCTCCCTTCTTCTCTCTCCCAGCCTTGTTATTCCTTCTGCTGCCTGCTGTGTGTGCAGGGGCAGTTCCCTGACCCCTCTTGATGTGAGTGAGGGGGTGTGGTGCTGCCTGGGGGCTGTGCTGCTCCACCTGAAGCACAGTCTCTGCTTTGAGGAGCTCAGAACCCGGGAGAGAGGAGAAGCAGGATGGCCACCTTGAAGGAGGAGGATGGAAGTATCAATGTACAAACACCTGTGTGTAGTTCAGGACAAATAGTGAGGGGAGAAGAGATTGAGGAACTCTGTCTGGTTTATTCTACTTTCCCTGCCCACTCCCGTGCCCAGGGCTGCTGTGGCAGCATTTGCAGGCTGGAATCCTTCAAACTGGGGGAATCAGGCTGTGTGCACTGGGTCTGACAGCCCAGAGATGGGATGGGGATGAGGTTAAACCACAGGGATAAGAGCCAGGACTTCTGGGGCCTGGGGGAAGGTTGTTTAATGGGATTAATATATTCATGGATATAATTTCCTCAATTCTTCTGTCCAGAGGAGAGCTTATTAACCATGTTTTGCAGATGGAGAAAGCTGTGCTCAGGCAGAGTGGAGCCTGGTTAGTTTGTTGAGCATGGGGATGCAGTGCTATTTGAAACTCCCTGGGGAGTCTGGTACGTCCTGCACTGGAGACCCCTGTGCTCTGGCACACACCTGGAGCTGGACCAGCAGGGGTATCTCAAAGGACACTGACAACCAGTTTTAAAGAAATGAATTGGGCCTTTCTGCTCTGATTACTGTTCTGAGGTCTCAGTGAGCAATGGGCACAAGCAGGACCCAGGACCAATACTGAGCATGGTGAATATCAGCTGTTAGACTTTTTTGCCTGACACTTTCCAAAAGTAAGAGACTTGGCTGCATTTCTTTTCTTCAAAGGCTAGAGCTGTATTTTTCTGAAGAGGAGGCACTATGATGCTGTGGCACGGTAGCCATCAGAATTTTTTTTCCAAATCAGCATAAGGTTTTCTGGCTGTTTCACCACAGACCTGTCTAGAGTTACCAACAATGTTTCCTGTCTGTGTGCCAAGTCACAAAATCCTTCCTCTTTCTCTTAGGCAGGTTTTGCACTATTTTCTGGAGAGCCATGTTGTTGGTGTTGCCTCATTCTAACCACAGCATGACCAGTGTCTTTATTTGATGTTAAGCCTCATGTGTTGGGAGTTGGTTGCCAGTCCCATCCTCACCTCCTTTGCTTTTCTCCACAGGAATTGGATATGCCACCCAAGTCATTGTGGGATATCTGAATATCTACTACATTGTCATCTTGTCCTGGGCACTCTTCTACCTGTTCAGCTCCTTCTCTTCAGTGCTACCATGGGCCAGCTGCAATAACCCCTGGAACTCAGGTACACCTTTTCTTGGGCAGTTTCTAGCTTCTTTCCAATTCCCAGAAGTTATTTAGGTTTTGTTGAAAATATTTGGGGTTTTTTTTGGATAAGAAGCTCTCATGAGCTGGCATGTGATGTCACCAAAAAATAGGCATTTTCTGGCAAGCAGGAGAGGTGGATGGTAGAGTTTGCAAGCCAATCTAGGGCACTCATCATGTGGCAGGCTCTTTTTATTATCTCTGGTGCAACAGTTTATCTTACAGTTCCCTTACTCTGCCCCATTCCTGCGGAGTTACTGGGACAGTTGCTGCCACTGCTGGTGCCTGAACAGTTTCCTCTGTGCACTCAGCTTTTCACTTTACTCTGCCCTGCAGAGAAGACCTGGCTTTGACTTTACTCAAGTTGCTTGTGCTGAGCCTGGGAAGATGGGGTGGATGTGAGGTAATTCTCATGAATGTCCTTGTCAGGAATTTTTTAACATGTTGAGCAGGTTTTGCTTGGCAGCAGCTTGGTTCCCTCCCTTTTTCTCTTGAGTCAGATGATTAATTTCTGCAATTAGTTAAATTTCTCTACCCTGTAGGCCTTTTACTCACAGCTCCCTCTGCCTTTTCATCCCAGCAGAAGTAACCAGCCTTTTAAGGAGATGATCCAATTCCTTCAGCTCCCCCAGAATGGATTTGTTTGCAAGCAAAGCCACAAATGTTCTCTTAACAGGGAGAAGTTTCCCAGCAACAGCTGGGTTTCCTTGGTTTTCCATTGGGTTGTCTTTTGCTGGCAAAATGCAAGATGAGGTGCATTGGATGTGTGGCATCTCCTCTGTTTTTAGTTATTTCATGCTTTGTAATGGTTGGGGATGGCAAAGGAGAACATGAAGCTGATGTGTGCATGTGTGGACAGGGAATGGTGTGGACAAGCATGTGTGGAAAGAGAATGAGATTTTCTATCTAGACTACTCATAATCACTATCCCTTGATAATCTGTATTTTTCCGTCATCTGTTTTCAATTTGGCAGGGAATTGTTTTCTCCTTCCCCTCTTCTCTCCCTGAAGCCTTTCTGGTGACTGCTGGATTGGGATTCCTACCTGGGGAGAGCCAGAGTTTAATGAGACATTTAATGAGATGCTCTATAGCACAAGATGAAGGATCTTTGAGGGTTAGGGTCCAGAGGAGAAGGAACATCCCTCTTGGAGGAGCCCTAGAGAATTTCTCACCTCATCAGCTTCCTTTTCTTTTGGTAGATCTCTGTGTGGACATTCTGAATAGATCCAGCCTGGACAACAGGACCTTGCCAGCGAACGCCACCTCCTCAATGATTGAGTTTTGGGAGTATGTGATTGCTTTCCCTCTGTTCAGGCTCCCTCTCACCCAAAGGCTGCAGCTGCAGGACTCCCTGGGCTGGGGGCTGTGTCTGTAGGAGCAAAGTGAGGTGCCACGTGCCAGATCCAACACGGGGAGCACAAGGAGCTGCCGAGGAGACTGGCACAGAGCCCGGGGTGTGAGGACTGGGCACACCCCAAAGGCTGCTCACCGTGTGCCTGCCCAGGGGTGCTCGTGTGCACCTTGAGGGTGTGCTCCCCTTTCTGGCACTGGGCTGCCTGGGTGAGTGTGGCCACTGAGAGAGCCACCAAGAGCAGGAGAGGGCTTGCTGCAAGCAGGAGTGCATGTGCTGGGTGTTGCAGGTTTGCAGGCAAGCATGAGAGGCCATGGTAGATGAAACTCCTCCACAGTGAAAAAAAGGGAGAAAACTGCTTCTTGCCTTCTTTTGACCCAGTCCTGCTTGCTGTCTAAGGGAAGTGATCCATCAGGCTGCTCAGGATCATTCCTGGAGAGCAGAGATCTGAGATGCATGCATGAGATGCCAGAGAATAATTTGAGGAGGATGGAGAATTTTCAGGAACTTGGGGCTGGAGGCACTAAAATACCAAGTGAGTGGGTCTTATAGCAGGCCACACAATGTCCCAGATAGGGTCATCAGTGCAGTGTGGAGAGGTTGAAATGACTGCTGGTGCCACCCTACCACTCCACATGCTACAGAGGAAAGTCTTACAAAGAAGAGGGGTGTCAAGGACTCCGCTTCAGCAGTTGGGTTTGGGTTTTGTGCCCGTTTCTGTCTTTTAAAGCACATTTGAAAGGGTTGACTGTCCTTTGTTGCAGCCACCACAGGGCACACAGAAGAGGATATGTGCCCATGGTTGCAAAAAGAGTCTGCACAGTGCTGGCTCCCTTCTCCTGCCCTGCTCCTTGTACATACTATTTAGTGAGAGCTGAGGTTGAAACAGTTGTTTGGGTTTTGTGTAGAGAGAGCAAGGGGACACTGAGGGAAGTGGTTTTGAGCAGAATGTGCAGAGGAGTTATAAGTTTGGGCTTAGGCTGCTGGGAACTGCAGGAGTTGCAATGGTGAGCTCTTGTGTTGCCTGCCTTCTTGATGGTGAATCTCCAAGGAAGGAGGCTGAGGGAAGGGCATTGCAATCTTAAAGATAATTTATGCTTACATATAGAGTGCATGTAGCATAGGGGAGGAAGAATGGTGGCCATGGGCTGATAGTGGTTTGGTGGCCTGCTTTGAATTAAGTTGTCTCTGCTGGGGAGCTGCCAGGCTCAGGGAGAAATAGGGAACAGGTGTTGATTTTGTGTCGTGGGGGTCTGATGGGCATGGCACCGTGGGTTTGGAGAGTGGGAGGGTTTGGGTCAGCCACAGGACATGGTGGAGCAGAGCTGGGATGATTTGCATGGCTGGGAGGCCTGGGCAGATGTGTTGTAGACAAGCTGTTGAGTCTTTGGATGGGGTAATATGGGAGGGGTGTGTGTGGGACCCTGAGTGGGGTGTGAAGTGCTAATGCTTCTCTCCCTGTCCCTGGATGCCGGCAGGAAGCGCGTGCTGAGGCTCACGGATGGGATTCACAAACTGGGCACTGTGCGCTGGGAGCTGGCTCTGTGTCTCCTGCTGGCCTGGATCATCTGCTACTTCTGCATCTGGAAAGGGGTCAAATCCACAGGCAAAGTAGGAATGGGGATTATCCTCCCAGTCTATAAGCCTCGTTCTGTCCATCTTCTATATCTTCCCCAATCTCTTTTCCTTCTTCACAAAGTAGAGGCAGAAGACAGAGCACTGAAGTTGAAAACCTGTTGAGGCTAAACTGATGTACATCAGTTGTGTTTGAAACCTAAGAGGAAGAATAAATTAGTAGGTCCATCAGGGAGGGGAGAATGGGGAAAACATTGGGAACTGAGGGCAGTTTTGAGGCACATTTTCACTTGCAAATACCCACAGTGGCTGATGGATTCTCCCCAAGTGCCCTTGGGAATCATGCACTCACCAATGTGTTGTCCTGCTGTGGCTTGAGGGTGCTTTCAACAAGATCCTCTGCAGTGGCAGGCTTCCCATCCCTGGCAATTATTAAACACTTGAGCAAACAGACAAGCTGCTGCCTGTAACCAGCTCTGAGAATAGATAATGAATCTCTCCTACTTCTTTATCCTGGAAAACACTTGGGGAGGGAGAAATGTCCTTATTCTCTCTTTTGTGCTCTTTCTAAATATGCAGGTTTTGGGTCAGTTCTTCACTTTCTGCATTTTGCTAATGAGGCTGAAGCCAATGCTTTCTCCTGATGTTTATCCTACAGAGCAGATGGACTGGTATTCCTTTTGGAGTGAATGAGTGTTTGATGCCTTGGGCTGGGTATTAGTGACACTGCCATGGCCTTGATTTGCTCAGGACCTCTTTCTTGGAGCTGCCATGAGATGGGTGGATCATTAATGATGATTGATGGTTAATAATTAGTCTTGTGGGTGTCCAGGGTGTCCCAATAGCAAAGGGAGGGAACCAATTTCTGCAACAGATTTCTTCCTTCAAATCACTGTCTACTCTTCACAAATGTTCCCTTTCACACCTGACACCTGTGTTTCAGTGTTAAATCCTATCTGCTAACTTAAAACTGCACTGGGCACCCATTGCAGCAGAATGACATAGGAGCTTGCTCCCCTGACTAGATTTTTCCCAGATTTTGCTGATGACTGGTTCTTGCTGATGCAGACTTGTCCACCATTTCTGAAGGAAGGAGATCGAGACTCCACCTTTATGGGGAAGAGGGGATGGATGAGAAATGATGGCATTTTAAACCTTGAATCTCTGATGCCCCCTAATTTGAATACCACAGTGCCATCTTGACAAGACATTGGGTCTGAGAGGTTGTGTGATCTGCATGGAAGAATAATGAAGTGACTCAAGGTTCATTTAGCTCTCAGCCTTCTCCACTGAGTTTTTTCTTTGCATTTTTCTCCTTGTGCACACTGCTTCCCCAGGGTGCATAACTTACCTGCACAAGGAGAAAGCTAGAGTATTTCAGTCAGGCTGGTTTAGCTGACTTGGTTTGGCAAAACCAGGCCAGAAAGTGAGAGAAAACAGTGACTACATATAGTAAATATAATGGTCTTCCTTAGACTACAGATGATTTTTCCATCACAATTTTTAGGGTGCAAGGCTATTGGCTGTTTACCAGCCAGGTGTTATGGACATGGTGCAACAATAAGAGAAGAGTTTTCTGTTCCCAAATATACTAAAGGTCAAACAGGCCAGTTGTCTTCTCTGCAGGCTGTAATTTTGAGTATTACAGGGGCACTGTCAAAAAACTCAACTGCCTCCCTCTTTTTCTTTGCTGACAATATACTAAGACAAGCATTAGGAAAGACCCAAGAATTCTGAGCAGGTGCATAACTTTGGAGCTGTACAACAGCTCCAGATTAAACAGGAGGTTGTGTTTGCCTGAGAGGCTGCTCTAATCACATAATCCTGCCACATCCTTATGTTTCTGCTTCTGTGATTTAAGGAACCCAAATTTAAAGAAACCATAGTGACCTCAGGACAATAATTTCAAATAACTCCATAAAGAGTCATTTTCTTTTAAAAGCCTTTCCCCCCCCCATGTTTCTCTTCCTTATGCATAAATGTTTTTTTAAAACTGATTTCTGAAGGTAGATTTTAATACTTGTGCCCAAAGGAGTGTCATTCTCATTCAATCAGGGAACAGCAAAAGTACCATGTAGTGTGACTTATTTGACCAATTATCACTAAGCACAAAAAAATGTAATTTCAGGCCTATCACTATGAATCCATAGAGTAAACAAGCCTTCACACTGCTTGAATGAATTTTAGTAATGAATAAATGTTAGGAAGTTGCAACTTGCTCACAAATATTTTGCAGCTAGGAAAAAAGAATATGTTATATTAGAGAAATGGTTTAGAGATTATTAATTCTACTGTAATATTTATTTCTATCACACACAAAAAGAAGTAAAAATAGGTATTATAAAAATAATGTTCTACATTTTCTTTAAAGGCTTTGAGTTGCCCCCATTTTTTACCTGTGAGCTCAAAGGCATTAAAGGGATGAGAGTGACGCATGAGCCCTTCTGGAAATGAGAAATGCCTCATAGGTGTCTCAAATTGGCCAGCAAAGTTGGTATTTAATTTGGAAAGCTCTTGCTGTGCATAGGACCATTTTAATAACTCATTAAAACTCAGTGATGGGAAGAGATCTGGGTTTCTTCTGCAGCTTTCAAAAGATGAAGGGAACAGCTGCACAGCAGGGAAATTATATTGGCTGGAAAGAGAAAACAAAGCAGAGCAACCAGTGGCAGAGTCTTGGATGAAGAATAAAATGCAGATTAACTAAATCACCAGTGAGATGTAACCTTGATTACTTTCTTTCCCACCCCTCTTCTGTGTTAGCAGCAGCAGCCACAGCCAGCAGCAGAGTCGGGGAGGTTTGCTGGGGCAGGGGCCTGCAGATGAGGTGAAGTGATGCCTGCCCCTCCCTGCTGACCCTCTCTCCTCTTGTTTCCCTGCCCTGCAGGTCGTTTACTTCACTGCCACCTTCCCATATGTGATGCTCCTCATCCTGCTGGTCCGAGGGGTGATGCTGCCAGGGGCTGCTGAGGGCATCATCTTCTACCTGAAGCCAGACATGTCCAAGCTGGCAGACCCACAGGTGAGGGCTGGTGTCAGGCAAATGCTGGCCACAAGAATGCTCTCAGTGCCCTGGCCTCTGGAGCTGAGCTGTCATCTATGAAAGGAAGTCAGGCAACCAGGATCCTTAAAACTTCTGAGAAGGGTCTGGTTCCCTTACACAGCACATCCTTTTTGCTTGTGGTCTGCAGCATGTGGGCATGCTAGGTCATTTCCACTCATGGGCTCAGCAAAACCAAAGGAGTATATAAAATATTTAGCATGTAACAGAAAGTTTTTCTGGCTGTTAAATGCAGATAATTAAGGGAGGGGTTATATAATCTATCACTTTTAATTTTTTTTCTGGCCTGGTTAGCACTTTGGCTCCATCAGGACCCTCCCAGGACATGAGAGGTCCTGTGCTTGCAGAAAAGACCAAAGGCATGCATGTAACATGGGCTGTGACCAGCTGGGTTCCCTTCACTGCTCCTGGGGGCTGGTCCCACCTGCCTAGGGCAGGAGCTGGCCAAAGGGTCAATCACTTCCACCAGTCCCTGGAGCTCATGGAAATCCTCAGTGAGATCCTGCTGCTGAGCTGAGGCAGAAGGTAGAGCTTTAGTTCACATGGGATGTGTGTCCGTGCCTGAGGGACTCCTGTGTACATGCCTATCTGTGGGAAATCAGGGTGATCTTAGGCTGCAGCGCCTGGGATGGGATTCTTTGAAGGCCATGAAATTCCAGCTGCCTGGATGTTTGCAGCTGGGGGCTGCTTAGAGGAAAACGAGAATTACTGGGGAGCCTGGAGACCATCAGAAAGGTGAGCTGTTTACCTGCCTGCCCACAACTCCCAGCTCAGGGCTTTCCCTGGGACTGTGTGAGAGCAGAGTTGCAGCTCAGCTCTCCAGGGAGGAGAAGGCTGGAGCAGTGCTGAGAAATGCCACTCAGCTTTTCCCATGGAAGGCCAGAGCAAAGGGTAACCTGGGTGTGACACCCCACTGGCCTGCAATCTCTCATCTCAGCAATTTTCTGCCCCTCCACTGTGCACTGTGGCCTCAAAGAGGTGGAAAACTAGGTCTGGGAGCAGGGGAGGAAGTACACAGATTGTTGATCACACTGTCATTTGGGGTGACTCACCCGTGGCTCTGCAAGGAGATTAATCATCTGGGCCATGTAGGGACCACAGACAGCTGTAGTGAGAGCTTCAGAAGGAGCCATACTATCAGGGATGCCATCTCTACCTTGAATGCAGAGGTGTGGGGTGGAGAAATGGTGTCACCTTAAATGGGGTGTGAAAATATGGTCTCCTCTAGAGCTTTTTCCTAAATGGTTTCCAGTTCTATAGCTCAGTTTTTCCAGATAGGTATCCCAGATTCTCCATTCACTGTAGATCCCCTTTCTGTCTCACAGGGTTTGTTCTCCATGACTGGAGGAGTTATTGTTGACAGGGCACAGCCATTTGTTAATTTTGTTGCCCCGTCTGGAGACCACTGACCTTCTCTGTTCCAGGTGTGGATGGATGCAGGCACTCAAATCCTCTTCTCTTACGCCATCTGTGAGGGGTGCCTGACAGCTCTGGGCAGCTACAACAAATACACCAACAACTGCTACAGGTAGGAAGAGCTGCACTCCTCATTTCCTTCTGGGAATTTTCTCAGATAGCACAGAGCTGCATCAGAGGCAGGCTCTGTCCCTGGAGGAGACCTTGGGTCGTGCTGCTGTGACTAATGAGATGCTCAGAGTGCAGAGGACTCAGCACAGGGATGGAGGATGGCTGAGGGAAGAGAGGAGTGCAGAAAATGGCTTTAATAGTGTTCTCCTGCACTAAATGAGAGGCTGGAGAAGGGGAAGGAATGGAAATGGAGAGTGTCTCCAGGCACTGTGTAGACAGCACACTCTATTTTGACAGAGTGATTGGGCAGGAGTGACATGGCCAGCTCTGCCATCACTTGCTGGGCAGGGGAGGTGGTACAAAATGATGGGGGCCTCCTGTCTCCAGTGCTTTACTATCGTCAGAGTAATGTACTGCCAGTGGCCTTTTGATCCTATCAAGGGGGTTAATCAAGTCTGTCTGGCCTTCTCCTTGCCCTTGGATTACAGATCTATTGTATCCATGGCCTGACATGGAGCTCAGTGGAGCAATCAGGACCATTTTTGACACCCTCTACAGAGCCCTGAGAAGCAGGGACTTTGCTGTTCTTTCACATATTGCCCCAGTACAGATTGTAAAATGGAACTGTGCTTGGGAGACAACATCATCTCTCCTGTTCTCTGATAGGTGCTGCCATGGCTGTTGGTTGGGCAGTTCATACTTTCTCCTGGCTCTCCCAAAATATTTCAGGCACCAATGAAGTGCTGTGCTGACTCCTTCAGCTAGTTCCTAAGGTTTCTTGTGCTGCAGCTTACCTCTGGGTGTCCCAATTGTGTCCACAGTGCCTGCCCCATGGCAGCTGATGCTGTGGGTCAGCTCTGGCAGCTGCCCAGGCAGGATCCAGGGGTGTGGGGCTTCCAGCGCAGCCAGCTCACAGTGGTGCCCAATTTTCACAAGGGGCAAGAGCACAGAAGTTTCAGGACAAGTAGCACAACACATCCCAGCCTCCATGTGAGCATAGCTAATAAAGACAGCGTAGACACTGCCCTTGTCAGTGAGGATTTTTATTGTCCTCTTACCCTCATTTTACTAGACCTGCTGAACCTGTATGTCCTCATGCTTTCAGATACTCCTCTTTCTTGACTGTGTTTCCTTTTGCAACCTCTTTCCTCTTCAAATTTTCTGTTTTTCCTCATTTTCTCTGTTGTTTTTGCTATTCTCTGGACTCTTGTTGTTTTTTTTTTTTTTTATTGTTATGTGCTGTGTGGTTGTGCCCTATTCCGCCACTGTGCCATGTGTTACTCCTGAACTCTTGGCTCTGCTCTGAGAGGTTCCAGAACAACATTTCTGTTTCTTGGTAGTGCTGTCCAGCTAGGGAAACTGAGCACAGACATGATCCTAAAGCAGGAAACCCCCATTTCTCTCTGGTCTCCTTCCCGCAGGGACTGCCTCCTGCTGTGCACCATGAACAGTGCCACCAGCTTTATTGCTGGCTTTGCCATTTTCTCTGTGCTGGGCTTCATGGCTCAAGAGCAGGGCGTGCCTATTTCAGAAGTGGCTGAATTAGGTAAGTTTTTTGGGAGACTTCAGAGCCAAAGGAAAACAAACAGCCTGAAGGGGAGGGTGCTCTTCTGAGGTGAAACCCACGATGTTCTCTACATCCTCTATTGCTATGGGTGTCTGCAGAGAGGTCTGCAGGACCAGTGCTCCTCAACACAGCTTTTTGGCTGTGGGTGGTCAAGAAGCTGTGGCAATAGGAGCACACATGGTCATCCTGTGGTCTGTTGGCAGGTCCTGGTCTGGCTTTCATAGCATATCCAACAGCAGTAACAATGATGCCTGTGTCTCAGCTGTGGTCCTGCCTCTTCTTCCTCATGCTGTTCTTCTTGGGACTGGACAGCCAGGTACAACAAACCCCCCTCCTCATCTAACATGCCTGTCCCCACCCTGAGCATTCCCCATGGTCATTGGAAAGGATAAGGTGGGCCTGTGCTTGGCTGGTACCTTAAATAGGTTCTCTGCACTGTATGCAGCACTTTCACACTGTGGGAGCTCAGAGCCAGGGGTTATTGGGCTGGCATTTCTGCTGGCATCTTCTCCCTGCGTGTATGTGAGGATGCCCCACCTACATCCGTTCAAAACTGTGGACCCTGCAGGGCGAGGCAGAGCACAGAGCAGACAGTCTGGGATGGAGAATTGGGCTGTTTTCTCCCAGCTGCATCTCACCAGAGCAATCCCTGTGTCCTCTTCTCCTCACTGGTGGGCCCATGTCTTCATCCCATATGCCTGTTACACCAGGAACAAGCCCTGCAGAGTGCAGTGTGAAACTCTGCTGCTGGCACAAGGGGAGCAGAGGGTGTCTTGCATGTCCACCAGGCTCTGTTATACCCTAGCCCTTGTGCCTGGATAACAAGGCCTTTTCCTTCTGTTTCTGCTGGCCTTTGGTGGAAGCAAGACAGATTAAAAGAAAAAAATGAAAAAGTAAGGATTTGGCAGGTAGGAGGAAAAAGGACAGTGAGGGCAAGTGCGTGCTTGGGGAAGGAGAGATGCTGATTTCTCTGACCTGTTTTCTCCTGCAGTTTGTCTGTGTGGAAAGCATGGTGACAGCTATTATTGACATGTTCCCAGCAGTGTTTCGGAAGAGAGGGCGTCGGGAGCTGCTGATCCTGGCCATTGCAGTCATATGCTACTTTCTGGGCTTATTGCTGGTCACTGAGGTGAGCAAGGAGTGCAGGAGAAAGGAGCAAGGGCTGTACAGCTGAGCACCAAACCCCTGCTACACAGTTCTGGAGGTCTGGGCAGAGACAGCAAGCTTGTTTTCAATGCTGTTAATTGTCTCTCATTTCTAATCCTTTAGCTGGTGTCTCTCACAGCCAGTGCTGCTTTGACCCTGTGTGACACTGGTGCACTCACTGTGTCCCTAAGCCTTCCAGAGATGCTGCTCCCACCGCCCAGAGAGGCTGCCTGACACAGGCTTTGTGCAAATACCAGACCTGGGAGCTCAAACAGGCCGAGCTGTTTGAAAACAAGCTCTTCTGAGGGCAGTGATCGTTTGCTGGCTGCTTTCCACACAACGCAGAGCAGCAGGAGAGGAGCCTGGGGGTAATGGCTGTGCCATAACCCTGCTGGAGCCCATGGGAAGGCTCTGATCCCAGGACCAGCAGGAGCAGAGCTGTGCTGGTGTGGTGCCATGCACAAGGTGTTTGCACTGCTCTGCAGCTAACAGCTGCATCTATTCCTGCATGGTGCTGTGCTCTGTGTGTGCCACAAGCTTGGGTGAGGGTCTTAGCATGAGCTCTGAAGTGACAGCTAATTCCTGTTAATCCCCTGAGGCACAGATGAATGATCCTCCAGCTGGATCCTGGCTAAGGACCTGCTGAAGGCAACACCTACCTGTCAATTTGAGTGACACTGTGTCTAGAGCCCTTCAGCATTATCTGAAAGGATCTTCTTGATGTGGAGAGGCTCTGTCTAGGAGAAATCACATGAAAATCGTCCATGGGTCTGTGCATGTAGCTGATGGCAGCTCTGCAGGGCTCAGCTCAAAGTCAGAAGCAACAAAAAAGCCATGTGCCTCTGCCATTGCAGAGCTTGGAACTTGTGCAGTGTGTAAGATTGGATGAAGGTAAAACAAGGTATCTTGAATGTTCTTGCTCAAGATCTCAATTTTGTGGGTGCAAAGTTCTGCACTGCTACATGGTATTTCAAAAAATGATTCTGGGAACTTCCTAACTGTTTTAAAGCAACCAAGCAAACCAGCTCCTGCTCTTATGCACATAGAAACCAGCCTAGCCCAGCAGTATCATAAAATGGGCATGAAAAACTCTCCTGCCACCAGGCTTGACTGTGCATTTGGAACAGAGTGAGGGCAGCCCCAAGAGAAGGCTCTTCTCCCACATGCTCTAGGTTGAGTGTTTCTGCTGCTCTTCTTTTGCTTGTCCCACTAATTTTCCTTGACACAGAACAAGGCTTGCAATGGCTCTGTTTTCTCTACCTCTTCAACAGGGTGGCATGTACATCTTCCAGCTCTTTGACTTCTATGCTGCCAGTGGCATATCCCTGCTCTTCCTGGCTATTTTTGAAGTCATCTGCATAGGATGGGTGTATGGTAAGTGGAGGACAAAAACCTGTCTTTTTCTTTATCAAGGCAAGAATGGGGGGTTGAGAGTGAGAGTCGATAGAAAAGATCCTCAGGAGGCAAAGAAGTGCTGTAATTATGTTCTTTCTTGTCTGGTTTTCACTGTGTTTCCTTGCAACATTTCTTAATTGCTCCACATTTAGTTTAGGTATGTTTGTTCCTTCTCTGTAGGTGCCTCATATTGAACTACCTTGCTGTTTTTCCCATCTGCCCTTTGAATTAGAAAATCAGATATAGAGGAATGACTGCTGTTCTTTGGTGTCTGTCCCTGTCTGCTTACCATTGTGCATTTAGTGTAGTCCTGACAGTTAATTTAACACAAAATTCCGGGATGCAAACTTGCTATGTGCTACTTCTGCCATGATTCCTACTTCCTACCTACCTAGGCTGTGAGAGCACTCTGAAAATAAATAGGAGGGATTGCTTTGGCTCTCAGTGAAGTTTGTAACTAAACTACTCAGGAGCTGAATAAAACTGAGCTTAGGAAGTATCAGGAGGAAACCAACTGCTTGTTAGTCTGTGCAGTAAGAAAAGTCTCTTCTCATATCCTATGGGAGATCTCTTCCTGACCACAGAGGCTTTGGTTCTTTTGGAAAGAACCTTTAAAGGTCATCTAGTCCACCCTCTTGGCCACTTTCCACTTGACCAGGTTGCTCAAAACCCTGTCCAACCTGGCCTTGAACATTTGCAATGATAGTGTATTTACAGCCCCTCTGGGCAACCAGTTCCACTGCTTCAGAGTCAAAAATTTCTGCCTTATATCCATTCTAAACCTCCCTCCTTTCAATTTATAACTGCTAGCCCTTGTCATGTCACTCTAAGGCCCCTTTATACATTAAAAAGCTGCAACAAGGTCTTCCTGAAGTTTTCTTTTTTTCCAGGCTGGACAGCCCAAATTCTCTCAGTCTGTCTTCACAGGAAAGGTGCTTCAGTCCTCTCTTAGTTTTCATGGTCCTTCTCTGGACCCATAGCTACATGCCTTTCTTCTTCTGGGGTTCCTAGAACCAGATGCAACACTCAGCTTGTTGCCCAAGAATTTCCAGTGCCAGCAGTGAAATCTATTTATTTCTTTTCTGGTATTTTTTTCCAGTTGATTTGGCTAACCATTTTATCATCCACAAAACACTGCAGCAAGGAGTTCCATGGCTTTCTGAGGTGTTGTGTGAGGAGTCAGTCTCTTCTCCTTGTTCTGATTCTCCCACCTGCCAATTCCATTTGGTCTCACCTTTGCCTTTTGTGCAGTCAGTCCCTGTGTGCTCCTTTTGGTGCTTATGCTTTTATAGAGGTTGCATTGGCTGTAGTGCAGCTGCTGATGAAGGGCTTAGTAGTTTCTCCAAATGCTTTATGCATAGCAGGAGCCAATTGCTGTTTTGGATAAACTCCTCTCTTACTGAAAGCATAACCAGTCCAGATGTTTGGTCTTGGGCTCCAGAGAATGCAAGAGAAGCAGATGTGTAAGAAAGATTTATTTTAGAAAGATGTCCTTCAAGGGAAGCTTGCAGTAACAGACCCTGGCCAGATTTTAATTGAGTCACCTTCTGCCCAATCCTTTTGGGATTTAAAGGGACGTGGAGATCCCCATGCATCTGTGACAGGATGGGGATCACCATTTTAGGTTAATTCATTAAACTGAATTATGCTTTGATGTTTAATGCCATTTTTACAGTCACACAGGCCACATGCCTTTTCTGATGACCCATGGGGAGGAGAAATGGCAGGCAATGAGTAGCAGAAGAGGTGATGCTGCCCCAGCAGCTTCAAAGGGAGATGGAGTAGTTAGGGACAGAGAAATGGCCCTTTTCCTCACCACCATGGGTTCATTTGTGGCACTTCCTACAGTCTGATTTTACCCTCTTGATCTTCTGCTTTGCATCCATTGGGATGATTCTGGTCCAAAATGTAGTCACAGGACCAAGGTGAGGTGTTATATTGGGGGAAAGAAGTGACTAGTGCTGATTAAAGAGGTTTTTTTCCCCCAGCCTTGCAATTGGCAGAGCTGAGCCTCTTGCTTACCCTGTGAAGAATTACAACATTTCTGCTAACACAAATATGTGTTCTGAGTTTCCCCTCTCCCAGCACATACGCCAGCCACCCACCACTTGGCAGCTTTCCCTGCTGCCAGGCAGCTGCTCTCCCAGAGACCTGAGGATTTCCTCTGTACTGCTCCCTGCCTGTGGAAGGATCACACAGCACTGCATTTGTGGATTATGTTCCCTAGAGGAGAGTGCTGGAGGGATTCTGGTGTCCCCCTGCCTCTTCTCTGCTCTCCTTCCACTTTGGGAAAGGCAGATCTTCTATAAGCAGGTTTGGGCTGTGAATACTGAGATTCACAATGTGGTGCCACTGAAATGTGCTGCAGAGGATCTTTTCCAGGCAGTCACAGCATGCTCATTATGATTAGCTGCTCCAGGAGAAAGCAAGGGCCTCCCTCACTACAGGAGAGCCAGGGCTGAAATCATTAGGACTCTACACAGCTAAAGCAAACTGATGCCAGAGGGTACCTGTGGGTGGCCCTGGGGTAAGCCCATGTTGTGCAGTGATAAATCTTTGTCTGATTCTGCTGCTCACATGCAGAGTGACTTCCAGCATGGCATGGCAGCCTCTTGCTGCCTGCATCCTGCCTGTTGGGCTAGCTCTGTCTCTGTGTGCTGAATGCTCAGATGCACTGGCTATGAGCAGCCTTATGTGCTTCTTTATGGGCCATAAAGGGCCTGCTCTGTGTGCCTGGTGCCCAGAGGATGTGCAGTTGTGGTGCCACCACACCTCCATGGCTGGCTCTTGGCACAGGCTTGGTGCAGGTGCTGATGCTGCAAGGTTTGACACAGAGAGGGAGCAGATACAGGCTTAGTATCCATTGGGATGATTCTGAGATGTGGAGCCACAGTCATCACCTATTGCAATGTAGTGGGTGGAATTTGATACAGATGAATGCAAATAAATGTAACTTGGGAGAAAAGACAGGAAGAGATTTTTTTGAAATAGATTCCAAACTAGCAGAACTGTGAAAATCACTGTTTTTTGGATATGGTAAAAGTAAAATTAAATCTTTGTCCCTTTTAATTTGGGTCTCGTTTGCTGTTTATAAGCTGTGTAAAATGAGAAGAGCTCTGTAAGGACAAGAGATAAGGATGTAGGCAAATCTCTAGTTAGGTTTGTGTGAAATTTATTCCTGTGAATTTACAAGGATAAATGATTTGTCAGAGGAGCACACAACCACTTTGAAGGTATATCAGAACAAGGGAAGTGGTACCAGCATTCATGGTTAACCATCCAGTGACTGCATCCCATTCTTCCTTGTCTTGGAACAATGGAGGTAAAAGCAAACATCTTTGTTCACTCCAACAAAAATCTCTTTGGGGATGTTTTTATGGTTTTCTCTGCAGGAGAAATCCTTCTGATGTACTGGGAAGGAAGGGCACATTGCTCCACTATGTGTCCTCCAGCTTCTAATTTGGTCAAAAAGTCAGTGTTGAGTAGTTGAACTGATGACTTCTTAAGCTCGATTACTTTTTCATCTGCCTGTGACATGTAGAATATGTAAAACATCCTGTTCACATGCTCTCTGAGGATGATCATGTCAGTCCCATTGTGTATCATCACATCACCCACTGACTGCCACAGTGGCCATGGAAATTTAGGAGCTGGTGGTTGTTCTACAGAGAAAAGGGACAAGGACAGGTGGAGGCACATCGTAATTAACAACATAAGTTGTGGGGTTTTTTTCTTTTTGGAGGATGGATGGATGGATGTGTGTGTGTTCTTTTTGCTGGGTATTTTTGTATTTCTTTAATTGATGTGTCTCTTTGACTAGATCCTAGATCCAAATTGGCAGAGAAACTTTGTCTGCCATGAAGTTGTACTATAAATTAATTTATCTGACACGACAGTGTGTTTCTGTGGAAGATACTGTGCTGTCCTCATGCTCTAAATTGCAATTCACATGATCTATAGCTCTCTTTTCTTTTTTTCACCCTGTGGAAGATTCTGGCTTTTTGGCAAAATTAGTTTTATATACCAACTCCTTTCATCCCATATATATTTTCAGAAATGCTATCTGAATCCTCGTGATAGTTACAGCTTGGAAGTTCTCTGGTATAGGCTGGACTCCCACACAATGTATATGCATGTCCCTTGATATACCACAGCTTGTTGTCTTTGCTTAAGGCTACTTGTTAACTTGCCAACTCAACACCAAGAGGTGTTCAAAACACTATTATCCTCCCCCTTCCCCCCAAATACTTCAAAAAGCTGGGTTTAAAAGAGATTTTCTGCAAGCATTAGTCATGGGATATAGAATATAATGCAAAGAATTACAAAGAAAGGAGCATACATAATGTGCTTTTGTAGAACTGCAATATTTAAGGGAAACATAATATGAGAATTTAATTCTGAGACATAAAAACCACTAGCCAAAATAGAACTCACCAAATCCCAAGCACTCAGAAGTGTGGCCAGTTCTCTAGGCACATATTTTACCTAGTCCAGCACTCTGGGGTTGAGATACAAAGAACCAAATTCTTATCACATTTGCGACTGGGAACTGTGGCTGGAGCGTGAGTTCACAGATGGATGAACGTCCCCAAAAGCAGAATCCTTTAAGTACCAAGACAGAAGTTTAATAAAGCAAATACAATATTATTTCATCCCAGAGGTGCTTAACTGGGAACCCTTTTTCTGGACAGACTAGCTCACTTTTTTTTTTTTTTTTTGTCTAATATTGTTGTCTTATTCTGCCTGAGGCAGTCTGGTATATCTGGTCAGTTTTGGTTAGAAATGACTTTTTGATTTTTCTTCATTTTCTCTCTTTCTGGCCAACATTAGGCTCTTTGTACTTGAACACATTCCAGAGTTTATTGCAAGGTCTGCTGAAATCCATCTGCATTTTGTAGTCTCCTCTATGCCATTGCATAAGTTTGATCTTTGTACTTTGGGCTGGGCAGAGTCAGTGGTTAGAGCCTGGCTGGTGGCAGGACTTTTAGGTGCTTTTCTGAAGTTTATCCCATTCCTGGGCACCATGAGATTTAGGTGGGTCCCACACTGTGAACAAACCAATCCAGTAAGTGAAACTAATGAGAAGAGGAGATCAGATTCCACCAGACAGCTCTCACTGGACAGTACAGCAGCACTTGCAGATGGAAGGTTTGGTTTTCAGAAGAGCTTTAATTGCCAGGTTTTCTGAGTTTATGTCAGTAATAAAATATTCTGTAGAAGACAGGCTCTTGAGATGACAGAGATCCTGCCTAACTCAGTAGTGATTCTTGACATGACTTCCCTGGTATACCAGCATGTTTATTTACAAAGAGAAGATTTTGTTAGGTGTTCCCCACTCTCTTTGTTCCTTTTAGCACTCTGCACTCACACAATGCTTAACCTGCAAGAGCTTTCCCTTGCTGCTCTGTAAACCAGGCACCTCTTTTCCCTGTGCAGTCCTTACTAGTGCATGGCTGCATCCTGTCACTTACAGCTGCTGCCGTCTGAGGGACTGTGCTTTTCTTCAGTGTCAATCTTTCTGACACTTATGAGTGAAATTAAACCCCTCCATCTCTATTTAGCCACAGATGGGCCTTTTCAATGCCAGAAACCCCCATCCTTTGCTGCTCTAATATTAAGATAGCCATGTTTTCACCAGAAATAAACACCAAGGATAAAGAAAGTTTGGGATCTGATGTGAATAGTGGTTGAAGAAAACAAAACCCATCTGACTTGTGACTTTGTCTCTGTGCTGGTTGGTGGCCAAGGTGCCAACCGTTTCTATGACAACATTGAGGACATGATTGGTTTCCGGCCGTGGCCCTTGATCAAGATCTGCTGGCTGGTGCTCACCCCGGGTCTGTGCTTGGTAAGTGCAATTATGGCATCGTGACATGTCCCTCTGGGTCCCCAAATTCTCAGTGGGAAAGGCTGATTTAGCTTCAAGGTGCTGCTGTAAATTTTTAAGATTGCATGGAGAAGCAGAAGCTTGTCTGTAGCTGAGGTAGCTATTTATTTCCTTTGTAAAGCCTTATGTTTTGCCTGGAAAATTAATTGAGCCTGAAAATCCAATTGTTTGCTGTGAAGGCAAAAGGAAATGTGTCCTCAAAGCCTGGAGAGGTTTGGTCAAATTACCTATGAATAGAAGACTAGTGAAAATTACCCTATTCTGAAATACTTGCTTCAGTCTGTGTTCCTGGCACTGCCCATGGTTCAGAAGTATCTTTCTATAGCCATTTGCTTTCTGTGTTATTAAATCTCTTCCAAAACTTCTGTGACTGTGTTTAAATAAAATGCACCCAAATTCAGGCAAGTTCTTGCCTGTTTTGAATTTGTCTCGTCTTGCTCCACTGACTTTTACATGCCTTCTCAGCCAAATTCTGGTTTTCGATCTGACGTTGAGAGTTGTTTTCTTTGACCTCAATGGGAACACAGATGAGATCTATAGCTACAACTTACAAAAGATTCTTAGTCCTTTGTCCCCAGGCTTCAGCAAGACTTGAAGGTCTGGGAAATTTTCAAACCAGCCCAAATTATCTGAGAGCTTTGTAGCTAGAGAGCCCCGGGAGGGCTAAATCTGTGCCTGTGTGGCTCCTCTGGACTGTTTCTGCCAGGCAGAACAACACTTCGTCTCTTTGATATGAATAAATTGCTGTCTCAGTGTTGCTGGACCCTCAAAGCTGCTGCCAACTTTGCTTATGACTCTTCAGAAGCCTGAAGGCTTTAGACTGCTGAGAACTCTGTGCAGCCAGCAAGGTCCTGCTGGCTCATGCAAGACAGAGCACCCTCTGCCACCCTTGCAGAGCAGCCAGTCCTTGCAGGGTGGCCAGGCTGCCAGCCTTGGCTGCCCCTTGGCTCTCCTTATCTTTGTGTTTTCTGCTCCCCAGGGCACCTTCCTGTTTTCCCTGATCAAGCACACACCCTTGAAATACAACAATTCCTACGAGTACCCACCCTGGGGCTACGTGCTGGGCTGGCTGATGGCACTCTCCTCCATGGTCTGTATTCCTCTCTATGCCATCTTCATCCTCCTGAAAACCAAAGGATCCCTGAAACAGGTACTGGGAATGGTCACTGGGTGTGTTGCTGTTGCTCCCCTGGATGGTTCAGGGAGGGCCCCAGGGAGGAGAGGTACATGGCACGTTTCTCCTCTGAGAAGGCAAGAGCTGGTGAGAATCACACTTCCCCAGCATGTTCTGTAGCTCTTGTTGTCAATTTGGAGGGTCTCAGCACTGCTTCCAGGCTGCTCATCAAATGCTTGGTCTTCCATGTGGTGTTGCACCATCATGCTGGATGATCATGCAATATATAGACATATATAGAGCATATATGCACTAGATACCAATGCAAACCAAGTGAAAAACCAAGATCTGTTTTGCCTTTACTTCTTGTCCCTTGTAGTCCTGGGTCAGGACCATGTTGTTTTTAAAAAAGAAATTACCCATTGTTTTTAGAGAGGGCACCTGCTCACAGAGCTGTAAAGGCCTACCCTGTGCCTGAGCCTGTCCTCTTTCACTGTAGACATTCTTGTCCTAGGAAGAACTCTGTCTAGGGAGATGCAATCATGGAGATGACACCTCACCTGACCCATGAAGAAAGATCTGAGTGATGTACAGTACATCTGAATTTCTACACAATTTCTCTGCAGGTCCTTCCCCATCCCCACTGGGGCTGGTTGGAGGGTGGGGTGGGCAGAGGGAGCAGGTGAGCAGGAGCATCCCTGTGGCTGTAGTGTAGCTGTGACAGCCACGATGGAGAGGAGGGCCCTGCATTGCCAACACATCCAGGGATGAGCTGGGTACAGGAAGTCTTAATTTGTTCCATTGTCTCAGAGAAGCTGGATCTGTGGCTTACATGTCTGACTCCCCACAGCTCAGAAGCTTTTGGCATCTAAATGAGAGCTTGGAGCTGCCAGAGAAGTAATTGCCCACATGTCCTGCCTGTTAAACAAGCAATATCTCTCACCAGGGGTAAAGTGCTTCAAGCCCTTGGACTGAAATGCTGCTGGGAATAGTGTTAATGCTCATTGCAGAGCACACCTGAGGAACTGATTTGGCCCATTTCAGATCGAGGGGTTTTCTGTTTGTCCTGGTTTACATGAGATTAATTGAAATTTCCAGGGACTCCTCAGCTACATTAGTATGAAGAAATTTCCAGGGATGCAATTTAGGTGTAGGGGAAGGAATTGGCTGCTAAACCTCGGTTGATTCAGGGCAGAATTAAAGCCAGCCATGAAATACCTTCTAGGGTAGTTGCACCTGTTTTTAAAAGAAAATTTCTCAGAATATACCTGTTCTTTTTTTCCAGTCACACCCCAGAATTGTAGTGAATTAATTTCCTTACACAAATTTCCAGGGACAGTTGTTGAATATTGCAAAGCGTTCACTGAAAGCAAGTTTGTAATTGGTAATTATGATCAGTCACTGCTGCAAACTGATACCTTTCGTTACACTTGGCTGACCAAGAGACAAAAATGTTGTTTCCTAATGCCCTGATTAAGACAGCTCAAGCTCCAAAGGCTAAAAACTCACAATAAGTACCCACAGAGAAGCTGCAGACCAAGGTGAATTTTGTAAATCATGGAGCAAATAGTTTTGAATAAATTAACAAAATCTGTGATTCTGGCAGGCACTTCACAAGGAGTGGGAGCACTAAAATTAATCCAACGAGTCATGGATGAATTGCCTGCTCTGCTTGTCATGCACTCTTCATGGGAGTGAGCATGCACTGTCCTGAGCTTGTGATGGAAAAAGTAAAAGTCAGATTTCAGCTGGGAAATGATAAAGTCCCATGGAACTGGCAGATAGCTGCAGGACATCAGCTGCAGGATGGAAAGGGAAAGGAAACCAGGAGCTCAGGAAATCATGTGGCACCAGAGAGACTTAAAAAAGGGGATGAAAAAGACCAGAAATTCACTGCAGAGTCCCTGTGAGCCAGGACTTTTTGCTGAAGAGCTCAAAGATATTTTAGTTTTGTAAGAAGAAACTCCTCTAAGTTGTCCCAACACTGCATGCATGTGTGTGGAACAGCCTGTAGCACCCTGCATGGCACAGGACAGAGGGACCTAAGGGCAGGCAGCTGCCTCACTACCCCTGCCTTCACCATCACAGTCTGGATGACTGGAAGAGGGGAGCTGAGGATGGTTTGGGGCAGAAACGAGTCTGCAGAGGGGCTGCTTTACCTGGGAAATGCCACTGAGGTGGGCATTGCCTACCACCCTGCTTTGGATCACAGCAGGAGATGCCCAGCATCTGATGATCAGTCCATTTGAAAGTCATCACAGCTCCCACGAAAATCAATGGAAAGCTATTTGGTATAAGAAAAATAAAAGTTTTATGGTGTTTTTTCTATTGCTACAGAAAATGTCTGTGGTGCTAATTGCTGGCATCCTCCCTCACAGTAGCAGGTCTGTGAGAAGTGCTGTATATCAGATTATCAGTCCACAGCCCAGATTTGAGCACAGAGACAGAATTACTGTCATTGGGAGCAGCTGAAGAGAACCTGCTCTCCTCCTCTGTTTCACGGTCATCCAGCAGGAGAGGAAGAGGGAGCTGGCATGTGTGCTGTCTAGGTGCCTTTGCCCCCAGCAATGCTTGTGGATCACTATTGGCTGTCAGTTTGCTCATCAGCTTAATTAACAGCAGCTTCCTCTCTGCAGAGACTGATGCAGCTGATTTCCCCAGCGGAGGATCTGCCGCAGCCAAAGAAGAGGCGCGTGGCGAGGCCGGCCGACGTGAGGCAGGAGGGATGGTCTCCTCCAGCCCAGCAGCTGCTCAGCATCACAGAGAGAGAAACCCACTTCTGAGGCACCTGGGACGTTTCCTCCATAACCCAGACTGATTTGTTCTCTCCTTCCCAAAGTGGTTTCTTTTCCCTTCTCTCCTTCATGTCTGTGATGGAAGCATCTGGGACAATTCCTCTCCTTCCAGCATTTCTTTTACACCCTGGGGACAACTCTTCCTGCCAGCAGCTATGGAGACTGAAGCATGCTTTTGTCAGAAGTGTCCTTCATTACTGACACTGGTTGGGAAGAGAAAAACAACATTGTAGCAAAAAAGGAAAAAAAAAGTACATTTGTGTTGAGAGGAGGAAAAGAAACCACAGTGGTGAGGGTGGTGAGAGAGAGCAGAGATTAAAGGTGTGAAGGAGACAAGTTAGGGATTGTAAAGCAGGAAACAATGGGGTGCTAGCACAGGAAATAAGTAAGTTGGTTCAGAGGTACACAAGAAGCTGGAGGATGACAAAAGAAAGGGCATTACTAGGTCACCTCTGTACAAGGGAGAGAGAGCCAGGAATGTATCACAGCCAATGACAAAAGGAGGCTGCACTGTCAGGAATTACAGCCTCAGCTGTCGCTGGAAGGGAAAGGAGTGACAGGGCGCTCGATGCAATCCTAGTTGTTGATGATGGATCTCAAGGCAGTCTCAGTCTGGAAAAGGGGGTGAGGAATGACTATCTGAGGGGACTTGCTCTTGGTCAAAACTGCACGGCCCACTGAAAATGCATCCAAGAGTGAAACCGATGAACATTTGACAATTCTTTCAGAAAATTCATGGAGTGCAGGAAAAGTCCCAGAGCACTTGGTAAGAAAAAGAGCTGCAGCACAGCTGGGAAAATGAGATCCTGAGGACTGCACACCCACAAATTTAACTGCACTGCTGGGGCATTTTGGAGAGGAATTGCAGAAGGAGTTGATGGGCCTGATCCTGTGCTGCAGAGTAGCTTTGGGAAGAAGGTGGGAGAATGATTGCACTTCCTTGGCTTTGCTGTGGATGACTGCTCAGGGGATAAGGAAGACATAATCAGGTGCAATAATCATCAGCTCAGGCAAGATAAAGCAAAATTAATAGGTAATATGGTTTCATTGGAAGCAGATTGTGTCGAATTAAAGGTTGGTTGTTGCCAGGGTAGTCAAAAATGTGCGGCAATGGGTGGGAGGAAATGTGCTCTGCTGCCGGGTTTGGTGCAGTGCCAGATGACTCTGTCCTGTGGAGGCTGGGGCTGTAAAGATCCCTGACAAATCCTGCTTCAATGCCTATCAAATATTCACAGTTAAACCCACCAGAAAAGCCAGTGGCAGGATGCACCCGGGAGCTTTGCTGTGGTCATAGGTACATACACTGATGCATGGCTGTGCTGCAATATTGGCACATCCAACCACACCAGAGAATGGCCATCAGAATGAATCACAGATGCCACAGGCTCCTTTCCCTTGTTCCTTGTTCCAAGTAATTGCTTTTCCCTGTGCTGGATGGAGATAAACGACCGGCAGCAAAAGTGAGCGCAGAAATCAGGTCTCATCTGTGCAGCTCAGTACCTATTCCAATTGCTATGGGAACCTTATCTGCTGCAGTTTCCTCTGAGTTTAACTGGAGAATTAGCATAGGGCAATCTTTTCCCCATTTAATTTCCTTTCCTTTAAAAAACTAAAACCTACAAACTGCTGGTGAAATGAACACTGAAAGTCAATTATCAGAATTTGTACCTCTCTGGCACATTATCATTTAAGATGTTTTACTGTGGAAGATGAAGAAGGCTGGCAAACCTCATTCACATTCCCTGCAAAGGACTGCAGCACCACATAAGACACAATTTATTGTATTTTTATTTTTTAAAGAGCTGAATGTCATGCTGCAAATAGCTGAGGGAAGAGCTTAGCACCCAGAGTCTTGAAGTCAGGCATCATAGTAAGCAGTTGGGTGATTTTTCCTCTCCCTCCCACCAATGTTGCTCATGATTTGGTGGGGAAAGCAGCTCCCCTCAGTCTTGATTTCTGTACAATCCTTCATAGGACATTTTGCCCCTTTGCTCCTCCTGCCATGCCTTTGAGATGTGTGGTAGTGTTGTGCTGGCAGAGAAGTCATGGAGATCTGTTCACTTCTTTTTCTGAGGCAGTTGAATAACACTGCAAAAATCCTGGATAGAAGTAAGTAACTCTTCAGTTTAGAACACAAATGTGGTGCTGTGTTATTGACTGCATGAACTTATTCCTCTTGTTTATGTATAATCTGACAATAGCATCTCACCTCTGCCAGGAAGCAACTTTTTTTAAAATAAGCTAGAGGAGGTATTGGTGTGGCCATTGAAAGCAATCATAAAATTCCCAGGATCAGGAAATTAATCCAGTTTCTTCAGATGTAATTGACCAAGTCAAGTCCAGGAATTTTAAGTCAAAGCTCAGTGACCCAGTGTCATTTAATTCCCTTTCCTTTAAAAACTGAAACACCCACATACACCCAGCTGGGGGAGCAGGGGGAAATGCCATCAGTGGCTGTCTTTTGCTGTATGACCCCCAGCACAATCAGAGACTGAGTAGTGGTTTGTTAAATTTCTGTAAACGTCTCAGGCATTGCTGCCTGCATGTGACAGATCTGACAGGTCTCCATCAACCCCTGGAACTGGGCACCTCTGGAGAGCTCTGAGTCTGATGGGAAACTGCTCCTGTCCTGCCCACCACCAGGAATACACCACTGAAGGATTGGTATAGAGAGGAGAGAGAGATTTTTCCCCTGTAATTGTTGATAACATGCCAAGACATGACGCATTTGAAGCTGAAGTCCAAGAGAAGGTATGAGGTTTTCATCCTGTGCTACTCCTCCCAGCTGGAATTAAAACACTGTATACAGAAGAAAAGACATACACCTGTAAACACCTAACTACCACTTCTGGGTTTCCAGTTTGTTTGTTGTTCTGATTTTGGTTTTTGTTTTATTTGTGGTTTTTTTTCTTCATAAAAAGGTCATTTTCACCCCTCTCTCCAGAAGGAAAAGACAGGAACAGAGTTTTTAAAAAATAAATCAAGCCAAAAAGTCTTGTATTATCCTTCTCCATCCTGTTATTCCTGTCCCCCCCCACTTCAGACTTACCTCCCTTCTTCCTTTGACAGTGACAAATGGCAAAAAAAAAAGGGAAATGGTCATTGAAAACTTGTACGGGACAAAATTTGAAGAAAGAAAGATAAAACTATCAAATATCACCAGGATATCTTCAACTTTTGTGACTGCAACCCACAACATAGTTTTCTGGAAGAAGGAGAATTGCAGTGGGAATTCTTCTTGGCTCCCAAACGTTCTTCTGTCCCAGGTGATCATGGCAGCACTCAGGCAAAGGATAATGACAATGACCTGCTGTAGCTTCCAGTGAGCTGGAGGTGCAGCCATGCCCTCCCTCCAGCCCTCATCTTAGCTTTTGGGCTGGAGAGAAGCCATGCCCACCACAGCCCTAGTGCAGGGCTTAACTACCAAGGACTGGAACCCTGGCTCCATCCTGAGCAAAACTCTGGATTTCCCCTGTGCAGTTATTGCAGTCTGCCAAGGGTCAGAAGACAAAAAAGTGCAGCAGTAGTAACTGAACTGGAGGAAATGAAATCTCTTAGAAGAACAGGGGTTTCTCAGATCTTGGGCTGTGGTTATGTTGTGTGAATTATGGGTATTCTGCAGTGGCTGTGTGGTTTGTGTTGGAACCTGGGGACTTCCCTGAGGTTTTGCTTCCCTGGTGTGTGGCAAGAGGGGTTTGCTCAGGCGCTTTCCCCATCTTGAGGACAAGTGAGCCTTGCATGGGTAGAAATGAGAGACATGAGCCAAATGACTTAGGTGCACAGTAAATGAGGGCTGGGAAAGAGACAGTCAGCAGTCATGAGGGCATATAGAACACATCAGGTGTTCTTTTAGGCCTTTATCAAGTTGCATGTACTTGCATATGGTCACCTCTTACTAATTAGCTAAATTGTATTTGAATGGGGTAAGAGGGGAGTAATGTTCATCAAAGGAGAAGATAAAATAATAACTTATTTCAAAAATTAAAGATTAAAATTTAAGACTCGAGAGGTGGAGAAGATGTGCATATGCTGCTGTCCAGTTCCCTGTGCGTATGTTGCAGGCATAAGCTTGAGGTATTAAAGTATTATCAGGATTAAAGTGAAAGACTTTACTCCTGAACCTGCCAACGGAAGAGAAGAAATGCACCTAACAGTGCATGGATGGACAGTGCAGAGGTTGTTTTGCTTTGTGTTGTTTTTTAAACCCACAATAAACCCTTGCCCCCTCCACTGCTTGTGGACCATGATCCTGGCTCTGATTTGAATCCCTGACCAACAACTGCAAAGAAGGATGTAAATTTTCAGAGCAGTCTGTTCTGGTTCTTCAAGTCCAAGCTTGGAAAGCTGTGTGGAACGAAAAGGGATTCCTAGGGAGAAATGCTTTCAATGTCTGTCCAAAGCCTGTTGTGGCAATTTCATCCTGTCTTGGTTTTGGTGGCGTGCCAAGACCATTCTGCTAAATGGCTTTTTTATTTTTTTTTTTTACTCCTGTTTTGCTTAGTTTTTTTTACAGGCTGTAGAATAGTTTCCTGCCCAGCCTGGGTTACAGCCAGGATAGGAGCTGTGGACTAGGATGGCTGGTTTGGACCAGAGGCGTGTTGACGCTCAATCGTTATTTGCCGGTGGCCACTTTTCCAAAACATGCTCTATTGAGTGTGCAGCTTTTGTTGTACCACGGTGTAGAGAGTGATCTCTGGAGGAGGATGGGAGATTACAGGCCATCTGGTGCCTTTCTGGACCTCATATTTCAACAGGACATTAAATGAGCTTCTTTTTCTCATGGAGAAATAAACCCTCCCTCAAGCATAAAAGCAACCTGTCACTTTCACTGTCTTGGTTTGGAAAGACAGGTGTCTGCTAAGGAAGGCAGGAGCCTCCCCTGAAATGGAAAATGTAAAACTCTCCCTCCAAATTGCTATTAATTTTAAATTAAGGGGCTCTCAGGCAAAAATATGGGAGCAGGAATAACAGTTCTTTATTAGGGAAGAAAATAAAAAGATAAAACAAATGCAGTAAACCAAAACAGCACTGACAGAGTCAGAATACAACCTGACACCTTGTTGGTCAGAGTATTGGTAGCAGTCCAGTTGGAATTGTGACTGCAGTCCTCCAAGAGTGCTGGGTGTGGTTCTGTTGGAGCAGGGATCCTGTAGAAAGGTGGAGTCTTCCTCTGAAGATCCAGTGGAAGAGGCAGCTGTTCTGGGAAATTCAGTGGAGAAACTGTGCTGGTTCCAGAACCTCAAGATTATATCCAGGTAGGAATGCTTGGCTGCTCCCTCTGGGTGGAGCATCTCACAATGGGATGCTGTAGTCCTTATCAGTCATTCAGTGACAATTAATAGCCTGTTATCAGCAGATGTCTGCCCTGAGAGAGGATTGGTTGTGGAAGAGATAAGGAAAGCTGCCCACTTAGCAGAATACAACTGCCATACAGATGGCAAACAGGATACATTTTGCCTTGCAATCTGGGGCATTCCCATATCCTGGAGAAGGGCCATCACTGTGACATGAGCTTCCTCCCCACCTCCTAGCTTTGAAGTGAGGGTGACCTGAGAGCTGGAACTGGGGTTTCTTAATCAAGCTCTCCAGAAGAAGATCTTTATGCTGGAATGCTTCAAGCAGCATGCACGTGGCTCCAGGAGCTGCTGAAGAGAAATCCCATCAGTGGCAGGGCACAGCAGTGTAAATCAGTAACCCTGGATTAGCTCGGATAGTGGGAGGCAGCCTGGCAATGGGAACTGGCTGGTGCTGGGGCTCAGAACAGTGGGGAAATCATGCCCAGGCAGTGTTAGTTTTTTGTGCAGTGTTTTTGCATGAGTATTAATTCCCCAGACAGGTAAGGTGGCTGTGGCTCCCCTTGGCCCTGGTGTGATGCATACATCAGTCAAGGAACAGGGAGATGGCAGGGTTCTCTTTTCATGTTCCAGGTGATTCTATCTCATGTGTGTCTATCTCCCATCACCAACATTGGGCTCTCCCACCCCAAAAATGCTTTTGCAGGGCTCAGCTTTATACCTGCTTTGTACCTTAGCTAAAGCGTAAATTACCAGCCAAGTAAAACAGAAGCTCAGGAGCAGCCTCCAGTTGTCCCATCCCATAAACCTTGTCCAGGTGCCCAAGCATGGGAGTCTGTCTCCACATAGGAAAGCAGTGTGGTCAGGCACAGTTAGTTTATTTCAGAACCTCTGGGTGGAGGATATTTGAACACTTTCAGAGCATATTCATTTTGCAGTGTTTAGGCTAAGAAAATAATAGGAATTTATTTTTTAAATTTTTATTAATTACCTGCCTTAATCACATTTCAAAACAGTTTTTTGGTGCATAATATTTTTTTTAATATGACAACTTCTCCACCCTCTTTTGCAGTACAAGATGGGGTAGCATTTCCCTTGCATTTGGGAGTTTTTGAGCTGTCTCACTTTCCTGTTTCTATGGTAAAGGGAGGCAGCAGCAAAACCTTTGCTGTTTGGCCTTGGGGCACCTGTGAGGCTTCATGTGAAGAGGAGAAAGGGGGCTGATGCCTTTTGGAAAGTTGGAGGTTCAGAACATCTTAGATCAGTGTCTCCATGTGGGGGGTGTGTGTGCTTTAGGGCATTTGGGGGAGAATTGTGCTTTGGTAGGTTTTGCCTTAATGACATCACTACAGTGACATTGTGACAGGGGCTGGTGGGTAAATGTGTTGCTGTCAGAATTTTGAGTTTTGAGTGAGGCTCTGGACTTATACTATAAGTAGAGGTAATTTTTAATCTTGGCTCCAAAAATTTTTCCCCCTCTGGAAGGAAGGGAAGGATGTTTTAGTGACTGTGGGCAGAGGTGTCAGCAGTACCTCTGGTTGTTCTGGCCAGAGTCCCTTGGGCAGGCTGACGTAGGACACATCGAGCGATGGCAAAGCAATTTCCCATCGTCCAATCCTATCAATAAATGCAATTTCCCTGGAGGGTGGGGCTGTGTGAAACTCGATTGCTGCAGGCTAGGGCTGCCTCTGGTGGTGTGCATCACATGGCCAAGCAGCAGCAAGGCTGCAAGCTGGAGATATTTCCCCTCCCAGTGGAGGCTCTGTCCCTTCTGATGTAATAAATGAGGTTGTCACTGTGTGGCCTGCACAGAGGAGCCAGGCCTTTGCTCTTCCTTATCCCCAAGGCCTGTGTGCTTATCGTGATGGAGCACCTGTGGTGGACAGTGGTTATACTGCCTCTGTCAGTAACCCTCATTTGCATCTCATACCAAGTCTGTCCTCTTCTTCCTCTGCTTCTGTCACATTTTTCCCACACTCCTGTGCTTTTGAGGTCAGACACAGCCATGAAATAAGGCTTCTCCCTGTAGGAAGGCATTGCCATAAGGTTTGGGAAGTGGCATAATCTCTATCAGTATAACTGGGCTTATGCTGATTTAATGCATCTACCTCAGAGCTTTCATTAGCATAAACCTCTTAATAAAGAGGGAAAAAAATTGTAAGAGCTACACCAATGATGTAACTAGACACATTGAGTAGACACATTTACTTTAAAATTAGCTTGGTTTCCCAGAGTATTTGATTTCAGTTAAATCTTCCAAAGTATGTGAGGACACTTCTATTTATGTTCCATTCATACTAATTTTAATTTATATTAAGTCCATCAGGATCAAGTTTGTGCCAAGTTGGATGCAGTGTTACTGCTCACACTGGTTTTGATGGATTAGAAGCAATAGAGCTAAATCTTTCCAGTCCCTTGTGAGTCCCTTGCAGTTTCACTGACAAAAAGATGATCAGTTTTTTTAAACTACATTTATCAAAACAGCCTGCAGGCACAGGCACATTTTCATCAATGTGACTGTGTCCACTTATTATCCAAATGGTCTTAAAGCTGGAATAATCATGCTTCAAAGTGGGCTGCTCTGGTTTAATTTAGCCCAATTTGTTTTGATTTAGGTGGGCAGCACTGGCTGGGTAGACAAGACCTAAGAGTGGGTAGGTACTGCTGTTACTCAAGTCCTGCCAGGAATCTTCCATGCAGAAATCCAATCCCTGGTGTCCATGACAGCCCTCAATTCTTGTTCCCAGGGCTTTGTGCTCCTTGTTGCTGTGCTGGGCATATCCCAGGGAGATAGCACACCTGGTGTCACTCAAACACCCCTTTGGCAGGGAAGATAGCTGGGAAGAAGGGGCTGAGGGGAGACTCTAGAAAATGCCATAGAGACATCTTTAAATGGATGGATTTTATTTTAGTGGCCTTTTCTTTCTCTTCTACCTAATATCCCTCTCCTCCCATAAGACATGTCAGGATGTGTCAGATTGATCATCTTCATTTTGTGCTTGGGAACCCTTGGTCCTTCAGGTCTTACTTGCTGACTGAAAGCTCAGTGCTGATAAATCTTTAGCAGAGGAACTTTTTCTCCCAGGTGTTTCTCAACCATGTGAGTTATGGCAAGGTGCACAGGACAAACAACACAAAAACACTGAGCTTAACAAAACTTGGCTGGTTCACACCTGACAAAATCTTACTGCCAGAACATCCAGTGACTTCATCTCACTAGTTGTCCCTCTCTCCAGAGTATTCCAGGGGACAGAAAATGAATAGGCACACGCTGAACTAAAGTGCTCCAACCAAATCTATTTTTCATTGACAGGTCACTTTTAATCTCCTCCAGTGATGGAAATTTCATTTCTTTTCTTGTATTTATTTTCAGTTTTGTTCTTGCCATATTTCTTTTACATTTTTATTCCTTCACCATGTTCTGTTTTGTTTGTGCTGTTGACAGCAGGAGAGATGTAAAAATGCCCAGACTTTGAAGCAAGTCATCTACAGATGAAATTGTTCCTAAGGGCTCCTAGCAGCAGCAGGGACAAGTGGCATAAATGCAGATTTAATACCAGTGGCTGAAGGTAATTGTAAATAAAAGTACTCTCTGTGAAAAGTATTGCAGAGGTTTCCAGATGGATAATATTTCAAAGAAGCTGTGTGCCCTGGAAACATGGCTGGAGAGCTATAAATGTGTGGGGCAAGACTTTTCCCTGTGCCATAGGACTAGCTCATCCCAGCTTGCCCAGGAATGCCCAGGATGAGGAGTAGCAGAGATTCTGGCACTTTTCCTGGGAAGAAGGGGTCAGTGAGGATGGCAGGTGATGATGTTACCAGGTATTAACAGTCCAGCCTCTGGTGACAGAGAAACTCTGGACATCACAAGGGGAGTCTTCAACAGGGTTGGGAGTCATATGAAGTACCTGGGAATGGAAACTGGGAGGATTGAGCACAGGAATTGTCCTGCCTTGCCTACCCTGGCCTCACACCTTTTCCCTGTCTATTCCCTTGGGTGTTAGGAGTCAGACCTGAGCTCTGGGCCTGCTCAAGGAGGAAGGAGGCCAGCCAGCCTGGCCCCCACTGCAGGTTGGCAGCATTGCTGAGCTTGCTGAGGGGGAAGCCATGCCTTAGACTGGGCTCAAAAAAGCAGTGCCTGCCAGCTCTGCTCTGCTGGCCAGCTTTGCTTCCCTTTGGAGGTGGTGGACTTTGTGGGCTTAGTCACCAGAGCCAGGCAGGCTCATATCTCATAACAGCTCTTTTCAGTGAGTGCAGCCCTATTCCTCTGCAAATTATCCCTGAGTGATTATACTTCTGCTTATTTTGCAATGATTGTGTTAATGATTTTTGCAAATGAATTTTAAACCAAGAGATGTCTAGCCTGATTATTTGGCTGCTTTCACCACTGTCATCACATCCAATAGCTGTTATTTAGAAAACACTCTTTGCACTTGTGTTTACTCACACAGATTATATGCTGGGGTTGGGCTCTTTTGCTGGATATTTCCCAAGCCACCAAAAGCTTTGGAGGTGGCAGCCCAAGTGCTTTGAA